TTCATTAAAATTAGTGAAAAGGGATTTGTTATGAGAATTCAGCAAATCTGTAAATTCCTGCTTGACACCATCTTGCTTTGCTGGTAATGAAGATTATAGAGGAGTGGATCCAGTTTATCACTCAAATTCTCCTGCCCCATCTGTAATTGCCCTCTTCCATGACATGTTGGTGTAGGGAATTTTTTTGTTTTGTCTCCCCTTTTAATAAAAGAGTGACCTCGTGGAGAAAGAATGGGGAGTGACCAGTGGCTGGGCAGTGTGCTCAATGTTTTTGTCTTTAGTCCTGGAAATGCTGTAAAAGGTTTGTTTCAGGGCTGAGGAAATCTGCCCCCTCCCAAAGCAGGGAGATCATCATGAAAATAATGCGCAACCATTACCCTGGTAATGCAGTACCCTGAGCTCAAGGTAGACCAGGCCTTGGTCCCCATACAGGTCTTGTCTCTTACTGCTTCTATCTGAAGGAGCCTCATCTCTGATGTTGAAATTGATCTGAAACTGATCTCTGATGTTCCAAACTGTTGGGCCTCAGTGTTTCACTTCACTACCCTCAAACTTTGTTTTGCATGGAGGAAAGTAACTGCTAAGCCCTTTCTAAGGGGCAAATAGTAGCAGCCACACTGTTGCTGAGATCCCATCTCCATGCTCACCAACCAGGCCTCAAAGAAATAGAAGCTTTTGTGATGTCACAGCCCAGCCCATCCAGATGTTTCCTCTTTTGGGGTTCTGTGGCTCTGTGTGTGTATCCTTAAAGGACCCAGTCTCCTAAGGGCATCTCTATTTGGAAAGAAAAGAAAAGAAAAGAAATGTTTGGACAATGGGGAGGAGAGCATTTCATCTCAGAAAAAAAATCAGGAAGAAAGATGCAAGGTAGGCAGCAGGAGATGAAGCACATGTGAGCAAAACCCCAACTAGTTCAGGAGGATCAGGTGCCACAGAGATCATTAAGACCGCTCTTCCTTTATTTCAGCAAGTGCCCAAGGACAGCAGGGTGGTGGGGCAGATGGTCTTCCAGAGATTCAGGCCTCCAAATAAAAAATTCAGGGCTCCATGCCCACGTGGGACACCTCCGAGCACTGCTTCTCGTCCCTAGTCTGGTCTTCTAGCATTCCAACTACAAGGCCAGGCTACACATTCATTTCTGCCCTCCTGAATCACTTTCCTTCCTTGTTGCTCCCTCGATATGTACGTGCTCGTTTTTGCGCTTATACCTCTCTTTTTTTGAATTAGTTTTATTATTATTTTCTACAAACTAAAAAGTAAAAACTAAAAACATCAATCAGCAAAGACATCAGACCTACTGGGTCAGCCCCCCATTATTTTTTTTATAGCAATACATAGACATAGTCAAATCTACGCATAGTCCCGTTTCTCTAGCCGATAATAAAAAGAGTTGTTTTTGCACTTATACCTCAATCCCACTCCTTGCAAGTGTTCTGCCAAATGTTTCCATCCACCTTCTTAAAGGCTTCACATTGCGTATGCCAAAGGAACAGGGCAGAGGGAAAGGAAGAGAGCGTGAGAGAGAGGGAGAATGGGACAAAGGGATGAGAATCCCTATGTTTTGCCAGCCAAGGCAATTTTCTAATGTTAGTTCAAGCTTTCCAATAAGGCATTGAGCTGTGTATGATTTGGAAACTGTTATGGGAAAGAAATATTTCTGCATAGATTTCCCTGTGACCTCATTGGCCATGGAAGAACAGAGGTAAGTGGGCAGAAAAGCAGAGGGATGGGCTACCATCTTAAGAAAAACATGTAAATTAGGAGGAAGCAAAAATACTCCGTGATTCCAGGTTTGCCTCGATTCCCTGCATTACTCTGTCCGTGTACAACTGGGGCAAGTTTCCTGAAAGAGTATAAAAGTAAGTGGTTTATTTTGTAAATGGGAAAGTGTGGGGCAGGGAAAGACACAGGTCATGCCTTTGCAATCCAGCTTTACTGAGGAGTATCTCAGTGTGTCAAGTGTGCAAAAAATGTACCTCAACTAAGCATGACTACCCTAAAATGTGTAGTGCTTAAGGAGACAGATTTTTAAGAAGGGAAATCTAGAACGTAACTGAACAATTTTGACACATCTTATTTTAAAAGAAGCCCATTACTGGTAGTAGAAGTTGTAAAATCTGATCTGATTTGTTAGAATTCACCATGAAAATGTTTTCTTGCCAGATTATATTCAGAGACTTAGTTTTTGTCTGCCTGGCAGATTTGCAAGTGATACCTGTATTTGATGTGCTCTTAAGTAAAGGCGCGATAAAACTGAAAGTTATATAAACTGCCTGTGCCAGTACTTCTACTGATACTTATTTTAGAACGTCTCTAAGTTAAACGGGAAACCACTTGAAGTGCAGGAAGTGGGGGAAGAGCCAGCTTGTGGACTAATAATGAGTGGAGCTCACCATCTAAATTCCGACAAGAGGGGAAAACAAACAAGGCAGAGGGATCCAGGCAAACTTACCTAGATTAAGGGTAATCTTGGGATAACACATGCGAATGGAGTTACACTTGGCATGCCCCCCCCCATTAAGAAAATCTCCATTGTTCAATCATTCAAGTTTTAGCTTTTAAAAAATGCATGCTATAGACAATATGTTTTATAATGCAATTTAACTTGTATTGGAAATGGTAGAAGAGGGCAAAACCAGCCCAAGTTAATCACTTCTCATTTATTTTAATAATAAAGATGATGCCCAGTGCTTTTTGGAGTCATTTGCAAGACTATTCTAACTTGCACATTGATATCAAAGAAAATCTAGGAGTCAGCTGGAATTGCTCCCAGCATTTTGCAATCTAGAATACTCTCCCCTTTAGATGTGGGGTAATGTCAATTCTGTTTTACTCCATCCAGGGAACACTGACTTCAGAAGGCAAAAATGTGTAGACAGGAGGGATGAGGGAGAAATTAGTCAAATTAACATTCTAATATGAACTTGAATAATTTTACACTTTTGAAACAAAATATGAATAAAAGTTCAGATATCCTTTGAAACAGACAGTTCTTCACATTTTGAAATAGAGATCTCTGATCAAAAAATCAATAAAAATGCCAACATCTCCAGTTTGTTCACACAGGTTTTTCTGTATATTATAGTTCAAAATTCAAGTCCACCCTGACCCTGAGCTTTTGGCATGTTAGACAGATACAATAAAAGTATCAGAGATTCTGTAGCTCCTTGTAAATGAAGATGTAATGATATGGCCATCATAACTACATTTGATGTTTTGAAGTCAGTGGAAACAGTCCCAACTGACAATGAATAAATGCACTGTCTGCTCATAGAGGCAAACCAGCAGCCTTCAAGTCTAGTTTGATCTGCGTTCGTGGTCATTTCCAGATGAAAATGAAGTCCATTCCTTAACCCTGAACTCACATTTTCAGTTGAATTGTTTTCATTCCTGGCTTCTCCTTTCCACATTCTAGGTATGGCTGCCTACTCTTTAAACAGTACACTTACAATTTATCTAAGTAGATCTAGGGGAGTTGTTATTCAGCATCAGGAACGGCTTAAAAATGAAAGGTACATGTTTATACATTAGTATGTTGGCAGTGGTGGTGATGTGGATCCAAAGATGGATGGAAGGGGAATGATGTTTTGACCTCTTCTTTCCAGCCCCAAACTGGAAAGCTTGCATTTAGCAGACATGTCACTTCAAAATTGTGCAAAGCAACATTCCCTGGTAGTGCAATACTATTTAACTGATGCTTTCAGCCAAGCCAAACTTTTATCTAAATCTGATAGAATATGCAAGACATGTGAAAATCTATAGCTTTTTATATGACTGCTGCAATTAGTTTCAAAGGGAACTGCTCTATTGTCAGTGATCTCCAGATCCTCTGAAAGAGGAAAAGCTTATAAACAGCAGATTATCTGATTTACAAACAGGCAGCCATTGCCTCTCAGATTTAAGGTTGCTAGGAGGTTCCAGAAGTAGCAAGTACAGGAAATGAATGTGACACAATTTTTGAAACCTAACACATGAAAATATTCAAACGACAAGGTTTGTGGAGAGTGTTTCAGGCTCAAACCCCGAGGAACAGAAATAGATTGTTGTTCTAAAGCTACTTACCAGAAGGTCTCCATAGGGTTTAGGATTACTTAGTAGGTGTTTCAGCTTCAAGGACAACAAAGCATTCAGGCAAGTAGAACTGATTAACCCATCTTAATTTTAGGGGCAGTTTTTCCCCTCTCTTCCTTTTCAGCACAAGGCAACATTATTTAGTCACTGATATAGTAAATCTGCACAGTGATTTGTAATTAATTCAAAACCTGTATAGAACATGAATTGAAACCAATTCATAAGTCTTTAATTTAGAATACTTCACAGTGCAGGTTGACTCCTGAACTAGTGTGGAATTATTATGGTTGTATATTGATCATTATGTAGTGTTTGTCTGAACTGAATACTTAATGTAAGCCAGAAGTCTTTTGATTATGCTGTCTCTCTGAAGAGAGAATTTTAGATGCTGAAGAACATGCCTGTTAGGGGTCTATCATGTTTGCTACCTCTGTGACTTGTGATGGCCAAGTTGGTGAAAGATGATGGGAAAGAGCTATAGTGCAACCCATCTGGAAGGTGCCTGGTTGGAGAAGTCTGTTTTAGATTGTCAAATAGGACCATTATCATTTTAGTATGGTCATGCATCCTCTTTCACAGAAGACTACTCTGTTCAAAGGGCTCTCAGAGAATTGTTTTTTGCTTTGAAAGCATCCTCTGTTTGAATGGCTAACCAGTCCAATCCCAGTTTAAACATAAAAAACCCACAAGAAAAGGAGGGAGAGCAGGGGCCTTGAAGTTGCCCATCAACAGCACCTGGGCAGCAGGTCGAGCAGGCCACACAGTCACCTGGTCACACTCTTCCCCACAATGCAGAGATGCAAATTTAAGGCAAAATGGTAGCTTCGTTTGTCTTCTTTTTTAGTGGTGCATTTCCTGTGTGTGTGTGATTTCCAAGTGGCTATCCCAGCACCAGTGCTAATGCTCACTCTGGCTTATTTCTTTTTCAGATGTCGTTGTGGGATTCTGTGCTCTCCTTCTTTCAGATGGTTTCCCGTAGAAAAATAATAACCGCAAGCGACAGCAGAGAATCGAACTTGCATCGCTGCCTTTCCACCTTGGACTTAGTGGCTCTGGGTGTGGGCAGTACATTGGGTGCAGGGGTGTATGTCTTAGCAGGGGAAGTAGCCAAGACCAGTTCAGGCCCTAGTATCATCATTTCATTTCTGATCGCTGCTCTGGTGTCCATCTTGGCAGGATTGTGTTATGCTGAATTTGGAGCCCGGGTTCCCCTGACTGGATCAGCATATCTTTACAGTTACATAACTGTCGGAGAATTGTGGGCATTCATCACTGGGTGGAACCTGCTACTCGCCTATGTAATTGGTATAACTATGCACTTAATATTTCCATGTTGTTTCACCAATGACAGAAATTGGGGCCTATGAAAAGATAATCAGGGAGGCAGAAAAGAGAACATGGGTAGTGAACACACACCGCTTTGACTTCATACAGAGGTCATGGACAGAGCACATGCTTTTAATGCAGAAAGTTTTGGGTTTAATTGCCATCATTTTTAAGTTGGGCTGGAAAAAAAACTCTTTTTGAAGTCTTGGAAAGCAGTCAGTGTAGACAAAACTGAACTAAATGGATTAACGGGTTGACCTAGCATGAAGCATTTTCATATGAATGGTTCTCACCACCAAAACCTCTCTTGCCCATCTCTTCGTTGGACATCTGCAGAGAAAATATGATGTGGACTGAAACAAATATATGATCACCTGTCAGAGGATCTCTGCCATATGTTGTAGAAAGTTTCCCAAAGAGGAGATGGGTACAAAAATATCTATTGGCAGTCAGTCTATTTATTTGTTTAAAACCAAAGGTCATCATAAAGCAATTTAAAATCATATATGAATACAAAAAAAATCAGAGAAGGCAGGTCAGTATTTACTTACTTAAGATGACCTCCCATCCTACCCAACACAACACAAGAACAGGTCAGTCATACCCCAGCATTAACTGGAAATGTTTTGGGTCATGTAGGACACCTCATAGTCTCAGGCAGCCAATACACAGAATACCTTATCAGAATCAGACAGTCAAACACGGCTATTTATGAGACTTTGCAGGATTATTACCCTGGGTACCTACGAGTATATAATGGGAAAACGTCCACTGAAGTCTCAAATCTGCAAAAATCAATAAATAATGGATTGAGCGAGGGTGCATGAAATTGCCTTAGGAGCTTGATTCAACCATTTTTTATCAGGCAACATGTCAGACTATAAAAAATAAGTGCTCTGTGTAAAGGCTGCGAGAACTATCTCCAGAGACAGGGAGGAAGAAAGCATTTTGTGGAAAATAAGCCTGAAGCACAGAGGTGAAATGAGAGAACCTGGTGATAAGAAGAAACGTTCATGTTCTGCCCAGCTTTGTGGTGTCATGGAGAAGGCATCTGCCTACACAGCAGTTTAAGGCTGCCATATGTTGGAGGGGAACTTTAAATAGACACATTTCAGAGAAAAGCGGTGTTGAACCTCAGGTTCCTCTGGTCTGCCTTGGAGCCAAATATGGTCCGTTGACATTGTCCAAATGCTCACACCCTTCCCCTGACCAGCAGTTCTTTGATTGTTTTCTTTTGCACAATTTCCCCCAATTCTGAAAGGCTGAAGTGCCTTTCCTAAGGTGCAATTACTTGCAGTAAACATTTTAAGCTTACATAGGCAGATAATTTTGGTATTTCATCCTGCCATGTTTGCCTTTGGCCCAGCCTCCTTTTGCTTTCATCCTCACCACTGGAATGCACTCCTGAGAGTTTCTCCCAAATTGAACGGGGCCCTTGTACTGAAAGATGTTCAATGCACCTCCCATGGGACAGGAGGGGCATTCTGAGGATCTTGCTTTTCCACAGAAGTCCATGTAAGCCAATCATGCACCTTGTAAAGTAGATTCCCTGTACCCATGTCCACATTCATAGGACAGCTGTCAGGGCCCACATTGTTCAGGTCTGACATTCTCCACCCATCACTGAAAGTGTTATTTTGTTTAACTAGCTGATTCTCTGCAGGTACCTCCAGTGTGGCCAGAGCCTGGAGTGCAACTTTTGATGAACTGCTGGGCAAAAAAATGGTGACCTTTTTCAGCACACATTTGGCCATAAGCTGTCCAGGACTGGCTGAGTACCCCGATATCTTTGCCGTTAGCCTGATCATTGTACTGGCGGGTATGTTTATCCCAGTTTCTATTATTCTAAGGCTCTAGTCATCAGCTTCACATCTATTGTACTGAAGTTTGGCCATTCTCAGGTGTCTAACAAAAACTTAGAGCACCTATATTAACTGCCCTGGTTTTCGATATATTAATTTTTTACTTAATTACATATATTGTGGTTTTATCTTGTTTATTATGCTATTTTAACTGAATCATTTTATTTAATGACATTTAGTGGCACTTTTATTGTAATGGCCACCCAGAGAGCCCAATGCTAACAGGCAGCTTTCAAACAAATCTAATAAACAAAAATAAATAAAATTTAGGATGCCATCCTGAGCTCACTTAACTGGGAGTAAGTTCCATTGCACTTAATGGGATTTGCTTCTGAGAAGATAAATATAGATTTGACCATACATTGCTTATCTTCCCACTAAGTGCTTAATGTGACCCCAACTATTTGGGCCTGAATAATATTATCAACATCTCAGTTATAATTTCAAAATGCTGTATTTGTCACCCACAGTAACCCACATTTCCATTTATGATACTATTACTCTTCCTGTCCTATTGCTCCCATTAGGTGTGTCACTTTTCCTTATTTTGTTATTAACTTGTAGTGTTCCCTTTCAAGGAAGTATTCTTTGAAATAAAGAAGAAGAAAGCTTAATTTGTGGTCTTGGCCCCCTGGGTTCTTTTTCATTAGCCCTGCCCTGGTGGCAGCTCAATATGCTGTTGTGTGAATTAAGTGAACTTGTAAACTTCTGTCTCTAAGATGGGTGACAGTTTGTACACACACACACACACACACACACACTTACTTTAAGGGAGCTTTTGCAAATCTAGTGTGATTTGCACAAATCGCACCAGAATGATGTCATTTCCAGCTTCCAATTTACACGAATCCTGCAAATAGCATGTTCATTCAACTGGTGCAAACTTGCACAAATTGCATGACTTGCACCTGTTTCCTTGCACCGATTGCACATTATTTTAAAAGTGCAAACCATGGCCTGTCTTGGCAACAGAAGCCTGCAAAAGCCTCCCCACGTGGTCCACTTCCATTCACTGGATCAGAAACAGGGAGAAAGTCCATCAAGCTGAAATGAACCAGACTTCCCAGTGTCAGCATAGTTTCACTACAAACATTCAAAACCAAAGCTTTCTATATCACCTTTTCTTTTTCTTGCCTCCTTCAATCCATACTTTACAAGCCATATGTGTGTCACAATCCTGTACTTGAAATGATTGCTTCTATTAAGCCATACAGGGAAGGTGAAAAGGAAGTCATATGTCCTAAAGATGGCCAAATATCTTTTGAAAATTATGTTTCATTGTAAAGCTTACATCTTTCTTCATCAAGGGTAAAACGTCACTGTTCCTGCTGTAATTTTGTGTCCCAGCTATCTTTATTAAACAAGGTTTTGTTCATGAAACTTTGTGTATGTGTATGTTCATAGTCAAAGCAAATCTTTGGGTTTTCATTCCAAGCTAGAACTGGTTATACAAAATTTAAGTGGTGGGTATGTTTGTGTTCAATAATATCAATGCCAAATTTTTAATATTGTAAATCAGTGACTCTTTAATCCCTTTCTAGCACGAGGGATTTCCAAAATTTTAAACAGTGATGGGATCCTGGTAATTAAGTATGAAAGTCACATTTTCTGCAAAGACAGTTCACAGGTCTGAACGTATCTTCAACCGTACAAACACACTGCCAGAAGGGATATGGGCACTAAGTGGGAGTCACATGTTTCTTCCTTATTGCTTCCGAAATGCTAGTCCAGGGTCCTTGAGAAAAAGCCCTGGCCTGAAACACTTGCTCCTCTGTTTGCTGCACTACATGTCTTTTAGATATATGTATGAAGCTGATTTAGAGCAAGAACCATTGCTTCACTTCTAGCTTATTCTCAGTCTCATTCTCTGCACTGACTGACAGCAGATTTCTTGGATTCTAGATGGGTTTATCCCTGTCCTACCAAGAGTTGTTGGGGATTTATTTGGGATCTTCTGCACAAAGCAGAATGCTAACTTGTGAGCTACTGTCCATAAGAATATGTACCCATCTTTTAAGAATGTAAGTAGAAAAATTCATGAAGATAGTGAGTCAGGTCTTTTGATAACAAATAGGCCATTTCAGACTATTCTCTTTTCCATGTGGTATTGGCAATTACACATACTTGGTACTCTGCACTTTCAGAATGAACCAGTTGCACTCTGTGAAGTCAAGTGCAGAGACTTTGAGCCCAAAATCTTACTGTAAATGTCATTCTGTCTTCTTGACTCCCTAGGGCTTCTCTCCATCGGGGTAAAGGAATCCTCCACAGTCAATAAAATCATCACAGCTATCAATGTGCTTGTCCTACTGTTCATAGCAATCAGTGGATTCATCAAAGGGGACTTCAAGAATTGGAGGATGAGTGAGAATGATTTGTTAACTGTTGCTGCTCATAGATTTGGGTAAGAGAATTGAACTTGGGACCAGAGATCAAGTCTCAGGTTGCAGAAAAGAAAACTCAGAATGTTTGTCTTTCTCCATATTTAGAGTTGGCTACAAGGCAGGGGGCTTGAGTAGATGAATGCTCTCTGTAAGGTACCAGATCCATATTTCTAGTTAGTTTTGGGAAGCAAGCAAAATATGTTTTGCTTATAACATAGACCCACAAGGCCGTGTTTAAACATGTCGTTCCACTGACACAAATGATGTTGCACTAGTGGAATACTAAGTTCCAGAATATGCACATGGGGAAAGTCCAGCTAATGCCCTGTTGTGCAACTATTTGCACAAGAGGCTGCACAACCACTTTCAGGAGCAGGCAGTGTGTTCTGTTTGTGTGTGTGCTGCTGATGTAATGCAGATGTGCTTGCCCAGCTGAAAGATTTGGCAGAGCTCTGCTAGTGTTATTTGAGATAGTGGAATAACGTGCCGCTCAGTGTTCCTGGAGCAGTGGTAGGGGTGGGCAGATCCTCCAAGTTCATTCCCACAGCCTGCTTTTCTGTACCTCCGAGTCTGTTCTGTGCCAGTTCCATGTGAAGTTTGCTCTTTTTTATGGGGAAAAATCCCATGAATTTGGTACACATTTTTAAAATGGGTGCATACTCCCATTGCTTAAAGCATGTTTTTGTCCATTCAGAAATGTATACAGTGGTTTTTCATATTTTCCAGATGTTCACATGTTAAAAACACTTTTTATTTTGCAGAACACATGGCAAGCACAGAATGTACAAGTTTCTGACCTCCAGTTGTGTATGTTTCTGCATTTACTTCTGGGTGGGGCAGGTTTGGTAAATCTGTACCAAAAACCCTGCCTCAAAAGGCCTAATTTCTCACCTGTCCTACAGGGGCACATATGATGTTGTCCAACTTCATATTCACAGAAATCCCCAACCCGATGCCTTCCAGGCATGCTGGATTCCAGTATCCATGCTGGCCAAGAACGCTTGGATTCCAGACTAATGCCTTTGGAGGGCACCCAGTTGGAGAAGGCTGAGCTAGGCTGAGAACAAATGACTCGCTCAAGGCCAGGGCATGATTTTCATGGCTGAACAGGGAATTGAACACAACTCTTTCCTGGCACAGTACAATATTCTATCCATGAACAACTTTCACAAAATGGAATCTCCTCTGTTTTTATGGTAATTAAATAGTTGCACAAAATGCTTCTGAAATATTTTTCATTCATTCTAACCATCCTCCCTTCCGTCCTGTTAGCACTGGCCATTTGGCCACTTACCTCACCTCTGTCTATTCAGGCATCTCTTGCAGTGTCAACCTACCAATGGCATCCTGTCATATCCTTCTTGCACTGACTTCCTTTTTGCCACTTTCCTCCCAAGCAATCGATCTGTGACTGGCAATGGGACCTGGGAGTTTGGGGCTGGAGGATTCATGCCCTATGGCTACACTGGGACCTTGGCTGGAGCTGCTACCTGCTTCTATGCTTTCGTTGGGTTTGATTGCATTGCAACCACAGGTAAGTGAGAGAGGAGATGATAGTGCACTCAGCAGCCAATGAGAAAGGGAAAGAATTAGAGTCGTACCTCACAGAGGAAGCCATTTTTAAAGCTTCCTTGTGCCCGGTTCACCTCCCGCAAGGAGGAGTAGAAAATGCTGTGTTACGCTGTCTTGGCTTTGCTGTTGCTGGAACAGAATTTCTTCAGCAAACTTTTTGGGATAGCAAAGTATCACATTACTGCTCAGATCCTAGACTGCCACAGCCCCCATACCTTGATCAACAGTAGTAAGATGTGTAGGAGCAGCTCTTGTGTGCTCCTCCCCAGCTATTGAGATTGAGTGAGGTGGCCTTTCTGAAGGAGCCATCCCCTAGGGAGGTGAGAGGAATGCTTGCTAGGAGAAGGGCCTTCTCAGTGGTAGTACCCCAGAGAGGTGAGCCATGTGCCTTCACAGCTAGTATTTTGGTGCCAGGCAAAAACTTACCCTTTCTCCGGCTATTTTAACAATTGATTTTAATGGTAAGTTGGTTTTAAATCGACCCTATTTTTAGGTTAGTTGGTTTCAGTTTAAATTGTTTAAATTGTTATATTAATGTTTATACAATATTTTAATTTTGATATATTATGTTTTACATTTGGATTATGTTGTTAATATGTTTTGAATATGCTGAGTTAGTGTTATTAGAATGTTGTGTGATTTTATGTATTGTGAGCCAGATAGGGGCTAGTGTAGCAGCATGATAATGGCAATGATAATGATAACATTTCAGAATGATCATGCAATTATTTGTGTCTGTGTCTACCAGGGGAAGAGGTGAAGGATCCTCACAAATCCATCCCTTTAGGAATCGTTCTCTCCCTGCTCATCTGCTTCCTAGCCTACTTCAGTGTATCGGCTGCCTTGACCCTGATGATGCCTTATCACCTTTTGGACACCATGAGTCCTCTGCCAGTGGCTTTTGACTACATTGGATGGAGCATGGCAAAGTATGCTGTAGCAGTCGGGTCCCTCTGTGCTCTGACTGCCAGGTAAAGGTGGTGGCACCTTGCAGAAGGATGCACTCATCCTCATGCTTATGTTCACCTAAGAACCCTCTTGGATCAGGCTAAGGTTCCATCAAGCCCAGCATTCTGCTTCCAACAGCAGCTATTCAGAAGCTTTCCAGAAGTCCACAAGCAGGGCACAAGGGCCACTTGTCTCCCTTTGTTTGCTAGCCTATAAATGATTCTTGGAAGCTTGGAAGGTCCATTTAGCTTCGATTCACTGATAGCCTATGCTCTTTAATGTGGGTGAACAGAAGGTAGATTTCCAGATGTTTTGGGGCTTCCATTCTGAGAATTCCTGCCCATTGGCAATGCCAGTAGGGATACCTGGAAGTTGAAATCCAAAATATCTAAAGATCCAGCTTCTGCCCGCCCCTGCTGTCTTCCTCAAGTTGGTGCCCTCCTGCTGTTCTAAACAACAGCTTCCAGCTTTCCTGATTTTTTTTACCATATTGGCTGGGACCGATGAGGATTGTTAGCCGAACATCTGAAGGGCTTCAACTGAGAGACGACCACTTGTATAAATGTATAGAAACAGTGGCCCTTGTTGTAACTTGTGACAGCAACTTCTATCCATTAATGATACATTCTGCAAGAAAGGATTCTTGACTGTCCTCAGTTAATGTAATTAATTGACTCCAAGTTCTAGTATTATGAGAGAGGAAACGTAATCAGCTATTCTCCCTCCCTCCTTTCTCCATTGGACTCCTAATTTTATGCAGCTCTCTCATGTCCACTCTTGGCCATCTTTATCCTAAGTTACAAAACTCCTAATGTGTTGGTTTTTCCTTGAATTGCTGAAATTGCTCAACAATCTTGATTTCATTTGTCCTTTTCTGGAATTATCAGAGCCTGTCTTCTGCTTTGCATTTGGTCCTCTTTATTTGATAACGTTTGTCACCTTCTAAGTCTGTCCTCATAAGAGCTTCCTCAGTCTGAGCCACTAGATAGATCATCAGTATTTTTGCTCAAATCTCTCAGACAGGTCATGCATACCAAGGGGGAACAAAGGGTGAAGATCAGGTAGGTGATTCCACTCACGATTGGAGAGGGAATTGGAGGTTAAGTCCAACATCTTTGAGGGATTGTTTTGACATCAGGCCCTAGGAAATGTATCACTTTCATAGTAAAGATCAATCCTCACCATATAAAGCAGGCCTCTCCAATGACTGTGCTGGCTGGGGATGATGGGAGTTGCAGTCTAGCACATCTGGAGAAGTAAAGACTCATTTCTATTGAACTAGGAAGAAGTTCTTGGAAGACTTTCCCTTATGCTTACTTAAAGTCTGATCCCTTGTGCACACAAGGAGGGAAAGGAAAAGGCAGACAGGGCTATGGCCATGGATGTTTTCTTCTCTGTCTTCCTGTGCAGCTTGCTGGGTGCCATGTTCCCAATGCCACGGATTCTATTTGCCATGGCCAGGGATGGACTCCTCTTCCAACCTTTGGCCAAAGTGAACAGACGACAGAGCCCAGTGATTGCAACTCTGGTGGCTGGGGCTGTTGCAGGTAAGGCTGTACAAAGATGATCCAAATTTGGGCCTGCCAGTAGACAGTGGATCAGTAAGTTTTCACAAGTTGGAGAGACCAATCAGTTTAAACTAAGGAATAGGTCTATTTTGAGTCTAGAATCTCCCATCTTTTAAAAGAGGCATGGTTTTGACATCAGTAATGTCTTCTGAGGCAGTACATATTCAGTGCCTAGAAAACTCAACAGGCCAACAAATACAGCTGGTGTTGCACTGCACTAGAGGTCAATTACTCTAGTGCATGGTAATTAACAATAGCGATGATGCCTCATTGGATACTGCCCCATGGATGGAATTGACCTCCACTGAAAGGAGGTTCTCAAACCTGGTGCTCTCTTTGACAGAAAGGGATCCGATCCTGCCAGTCATGATGGTCTTGCCTCACAAGGGAACAAAATTCTGCATTCGCTGTTTCCTGAATCTTGAGACTGAGAGAGTTGGCTGGTATGCCCAAAGTATGTTTTATGAAGCATAGAAACCCTTGGGCAGTTTCCAGCAGGGCATTCTTCCACTGTTTCTGTGGTGATTGTAGGAGCAATTACTTGCAAAACATTGCTTTTGTGTTTCTGGATATACGCCTGTTTTCTGGATCAGGACAACTCAGTGGAGCTTCCTTCTGCTAGCTCTGCTGATGTTCCCCATTCTGAAAAGGAAAGTTTCCACCTTTTGAGGATTTTTTGAAAAGTTGAAAGACTGATTGTGCAGCTGCCCACTTTTTGCTCCTGTGAGCATGGGCACCATAGAATACTCCATGTTCATATAGAGGGCAACAAGAATTAGCAGAACATATGTAATTGCTTGTGTTTGCAATGCCCTCTACCTTGTCTTCACAGCTTTGATGGCTTTCCTGTTTGATCTCAAGGCCTTGGTTGACATCATGTCCATCGGGACCCTGCTGGCCTACACTCTAGTAGCGATCTGTGTTCTTCTGCTCAGGTAATGAAGTTCAGACCATGTACTTCCATCTAACGGCGATGGCAGTAGCAGGTGCTACTCCAGTGCCCCTGAAGACAGCATCCTAAGGGGATGTAAAGTTTTCTCAGCACATAGCGGTCTCTTGAGTTACATTTTCACAACTGAACTAAGGGAATACCAAAGGCAGAGATGGTTATGGCCATTTCCCGATATGGTGATTTCCACCCCCTTGCAATGCATACATTCTGGATCAAGATGAAGAACAACTCAGTAACATGCATGCTGTGAGCATCATGTTTGTATGCTGTGAGTTACAGGTAGCACTGCAGCATTAAATCAGTTATTACTTGGTTAGATTAATGATTTAAAAACCTTTACAGTGTAATCCAATACTCAAGAGTCAGTCCTATGAATTCAGTGGGCTTTACTGTTAGGTAATTGCATATAGGAATGCAACCATAAGCAACTTAAGAGTGACTTAAATTTTTACATAATTTTTCATCAACATGCCAGCAGAAAACTCATTTTTAAAAGACATTCTGCTTACTGTCACATTAAAAAAAAAAAGATTGCTTTTTCCTTCCGAAATATCATTTTTACCCAGATGCAAATTTATTATAATCTAATCAATAGAGTCAGTTAATTAATTAACTAAAACTCATATGATTAATCAGCTACATTTTATTCAATCAAGTTGTAGTCATAGTTACAACCTCAGTTGCTACATCCATGTCCAAATAGATCTCACACTTCGCTGAGATCTGCAGAGATAAGAGGCAAACAAGAGGTGTCACCTCCTCTATTCTGTGTGTCCAACTGAAATCTTAAGCAATTTTCATTAGCTTCTGCCTTATCTGCATTATTGTTGTGAGTTTTGCAGAAGAAAGAGGAAACAGGTTCTGGGACTGCCCTAGAACAGGATTCTCCAACATGGGGGCTTCCAGATCTATTGAATGACAGTTCCCACCATCTCCAGCCAGTATAGCCATGTAACCATTGATTATGTAGTACTGCCCAACCAGTCTTGACATCTTAAGATTCTACCTTTTTAAAAAAATGGCACAAGTCCCATCTGAGAACAGAGGCACTTTACCTATCTGAATTATATCCATTACCATTCACTCAAAATTTATTCCATTCTGAAATCCAGTATCCAGTTGAGTCTAGCTGAGTTCAATCCTAAATATGTGGGCACAGAATTGCAGCTTAAGAATTTCTGCTTTCAGTAGCTTTTGTTTAATTATATGTATTACCTAAATAAATGTAGGTAGCAACAGTCATGTACATGGAGTGTTTTATTTTGTTGATTGTTAATTCAGGGTCATAGGCTGTTTGAACACCAATGTCTCATCCTCAGGACCACATAGTCCAACAAAGGAGCCTTATAGATTGGGCACAATATTGAGGGAAAGCTTAATTATTAAGATTGGAATTAAATTCCTCCTGGCAGCATTACATACCCAGGGGAGAGAGGGAAATACCAAGAAAGTTAAAGACACACCATGTTCACACAAATTATAGGAGAGAACTCATGGCAGGCTGTTATTAACAATACTGATGGCAATGAAATTATTTATCATTTGTAGTAATTTTCCCCTTGCATTGTGTGGGGGAAAATCTTTGGATTTCCACACTGTTCACTCAAGTGGATGGAAAAGAATTCCTCACAACAGACAATCCTCAGATTGTGCATACCAACCCCAAGTTCTGAAATCCTGGAAAACTCTCTGGAAGACATGCAGTCCTTGTTTAGAATCCTTTTACAAATGAAGGGATATCTCCAAATTTTTGCTTGTCATCTCGACATCCTCTTATAATGCCAGAGGATGTCTGGAATTCTGTCTGGAAAGAAGAAGCCACCTGCCTGCGTTTTCTAAAAAGTGAACTTGCTTTGTAGGTACCAGCCTGATCCCAGTTCTCTGGACCCATCGGAAAAGATGAGTCCAAGGAGGACACTCTGGGTGGACCTCGTAATGCACCCTCATATGAGTTCATCCCAGCACTCCTCCAGCCTGGTGTCTCACACTGTATCTGTCCTTGGTGAGTACAGAAGCTGGAACCCCATCAACTGTGGAATGGGCAGAAAGATCTCCAAATGTTTTGGATGTCTATTTCCACAATTCTTGACTCTTGGCAATACTGACTGGAGCTTCTCAGAGTTGGTCTCAGGAGTTAATAACCTACCTTCTCTTCACATCAATCAATATTTCCATCTATTCCAACCTTTCCCAAGCCTGGTACCTTCCAAATATTTCAGAATACAAGTCTCATAATTGCTGATCATCAGTCATGCTGTCTGCAGTTGGTGAGATGTTTGAGTTCAAACAGTTGGGAGGGCTCCAGGTTGGGGAGGCTGATCTATACAGTTAACTGGGCATGATGGAACCAAACTGGAATGCTGGTATGTGTAAAAGAATATCACCTTGCTTAAATACTACAGGTCTCACTTAAAACAAATAGAACTAACCAGTTCATAGCTTTCTCCAGGGAGCAGAGTTTGTGGTCAGCAGTTTTGCAGGGGCTCTTGTTATGGTATATGGGATACTCTTGTGTGAATGGAAGATGCTTCTCTCCCTGCGTGCTTTTCACAGGCCATTTTCTGTCCAGTTGTCTTAGTCTGCATCGTGAGTGTCCTGGCCACCTCAGGGCTGCCATGTTTGTTGTCGGGAGGTGCTTGGTGCCTCACCTCCCTTTTCCTCCTCCTCCTGGGGATTCTAATGGCAGCCCTAATCATCTGGAGGCAGCCTCAGAGCCAAAAGAAAGCAGGCTTCATGGTAAGTTGATGGACTTTCCTCTTGATTGTGTTCAGCAAACCAAATGGTTACTGATATGGTGCAATGAATTTCACATTCAAGTAATGCTGTGTATAGAGTTCCAGTGAACAGGAGTGGGCTGGGAATTCTCTCTGTGGGCTGTGCTCTGCTTCCAGCCATCTTTGCATCTACACAAAGGTAGCAATGTCTGGATTAATGAATTCAAAGGGTTCTGATTTCTTATGAATCCCACCTGCAGATGCATACACAGACTGGCTTTTCTTGAGTCACATGGATCGGCAGATTTTTTTTTTAACTGGGGGTGGGTGGGATTTGCATGCCGGAGCAAGAACACATTGGACCAAATGTAGATTTGCAAAGAGAAACAGAATTCCCATACGACAGTGCATTTCCATCAATGAGAAGACAACAAGATGGAGGAGACGTGTTCTATGGAGCTTAGAATAGATTTCACAGCATCAGTGCATCCCTAGCCAAAGGACAGTATCCCAGCTGGAGTTTAATAGTGTTTTCCTCTTTGCTGAGAGCTGTTGTGGTGTGGTGGTTAAAATGCTGGACCGGGAACGTGGGAGATCTGGCCTAGTCCCCACTCAGCCATGAAGTTCATTGAATAACTGGTCCAGTCACTCACTCCCAGTCTGGAGTGAGTGACTGGACCAACAACCTCACAGGGTTGTTGTTGTGAGGATAAAATGGAGCTGTGTAAACTGCCCTGGATACCTTTTAAGAGGAAAAAGGTGAGATAAAATGCAATATAATAATTGCCCTTCCACTAAATTACTATCCACCCATACCTGAGGAAACGTATTTGCTTTATGCATGTATATGTTTCTTTTAAGCAGTTCTGCAAATTCACACACTTAACATTTGTTCTTCACTTTAAAATAAAAAGAAAACGCAATGCCATCCCCACGTTTGACCTCTGCAAAAACTACTCTGAGAGGGTGAGGGGTGTAGTTTTTTGATTGACAGGAGGGCCAGCTAATTAGCATCATGCATACTTTATTCAGCTGCAAATTGAGCTTAATCTAGGAGAAAAATGGATTACTTACCCAAAATTTGAGGAATACACTCTCCTAAAATATACACATCTATCTCTCCTCTCCTTTTTGTAAAATGCAGTTCTAATCCTCTTGGTTATGTGAAATAGCTTGGTAACACATGTTGGTAAATGATCAGAAACTAACTGGAACACTACCGGGAGTCCTCAGCTCTAGGCATACCTGCCCGGAGTCACGAGAGCTTTCTCTTAGACAAGGGCTATAAACAGGAAGGGCTATAAAAGGCCCTCATCTGTTTCTCTGTGGCTTTTTGGGGGTCAGGCTCCTGGCTTGGCCTCCTTGGCTTTGAGGTGACAATACAGCCTCTGTCTTCCCCATGACAGCTGCATATGGCCCGGCCCTGGCGCACATGGAAGTTGATTCCTATTCCTCAGAAAGCTTTATCTCAAGTACCGCATATTGCCATATCGTGCAATAATTCCCCTTTTATTCTATTGAACTCAAAATATTTCTGTGCTAACTCAGGTCCCATGCCTGCCGTTCCTGCCCATCTTCAGTGTCCTGGTCAATATCTACCTAATGGCTCAGTTCAGCAATGAGACCTGGCTTCAGTACACAGTGTGGATGGCTCTCGGTAAGCCTTTGAGAATGTGACATTGCACCGGGTGGGGTGGGGGGCTTGGGGAAAGTAATCATGAGCTATAAAGGCAGGGCCATCTGAATTCCTGATTAGGCAGTGTAGCCTTGTTGTTATCCTGCTAGAGATTCTGGACTTGTCTCATTAGGTGACCCTTCCTTATCCACTCACAGAAGATACTCCTGCACCCCTGAGAAATAAAGAGGAGCTGAGAAAGCCTGGCCTTTTCTTGCCATCTAGCAATATTAACAGTGTGACTAGCAGTAAAAACTAGTAGTCCAATTGAAAAATGATGCTCCAACTGACTCCCATAGCGACCATCATAGAACATAGTGCCACAAAGGGAAGCACGCAGGTGACCATGGCATTTTCCATGAGCTTGTCCCTTCGGGGTGGTTGAGGCATACATGGCGATCACTGCAACAGTCCGTGTTGTGTCCCATCCTTCCCCAACCTGGTACTCTCCAGATATTTTGGACGTTAGCTCATCAGCTCTTACCACTGGCCATGTGGGTGGGAGCTGCCTTATCTCATACACAGTGCTTTCTGGTTACATCAGTTCACACAAGCCAGTAACAAATGCAGAGTACTCAAATGTAGATAAATCAAATGGTACGCATGCATGTGTGAACCAGTGCATAGACTATAAGTAGTGGCCAACCCACGAGTCTGGCAAGCGTTTGTGCCTGGAAAGGGCAGCAGAGGAGGAGCGTATGATCAAAGAACTAAGCCATAGCCCAATGCATCCTGTCTCCCCTCACCTGGAAGAGGGACTTACTTCTGAGTGGAACTTACTTTTGATGAGGCATATATAGCATTGTGCTTTAAAAGTTCCATGTCTTTTGAATTAATCTGAGGTAGTTTTCTTTATATTACTGAAAATGTTAGAAAGGGAAGGGGTGACGCTAAAAAAATCTGGTTCTGAAAGAGAAAGAAGTCATACTTCTGTTCTATCTATTATAGGCTTCCTAATTTACTTTGGCTATGGGATCCACCACAGTACAGAGAAACACAGGAAAAACGATCCATCCCCTGAGAAGGCAAAACAAGCAACAAGTAAAACAGATTCATCTGTGATGTGGACAAAATAACTCTAGGAAACCACGTTGTGGAACAAGTGGTTGTCACCAACAGAATGACATCATAATAGTTTGATTGCTCTATATCTTAAATGCATATCTTTGTCCTTATTTGTAGTATGAAACATTCTAGAGCAAAACAAAATAACAGATAGTAATTTAATTCATGGAATCCCTATCCACCAGATGAGCTGTTGTAGCATAGATGCTAAAAGTCAACTGTGGTTCTGATCACCTGAGAGCTTTCTGGGTTCTTAAGGCAGGTTACTGTTACCTATTCTAAGGTAGGATGCACAAGAATGTTGTCTCCATCTGCAAATCATGTGCGCATGTCCTCTTTGCAATCCAGAATGCAAATGCAAGTAAGAGCATGTCTATCCAATAAATGTTGGCAAATCCCCAAATTCGTGATCATGAAAAAAAATCGTGGAAAAGTTTGTATATTTTTAAATGTGTATTTTCATGCTTCAGTAATTGAACGGGAAAGTGTGCATTCTTCCCATCTGAAAGACACACTTTTCCCATTTGAGCAGATTTCATCCAAAATTATCTTCAAAGGGATTCCTGAAAAAAAATCACTTATTTTTGGTTCCTGATCTTAGGCCTCTTCCTTCCTCACATCAGTCTTCTCTGCCTTAGGGAGGATAACAGTAGTACTAATGGCCTTAAGAACTGCTATAAGAATGGCTGAAATGTATGTACAATGCATTTTTAAGGCTTGAAATGCATATTAGGTATGCACAGTATTGTTATGCAGTGATGACCACCAGTGGATATAGGATTTCAGACTGCAATCCTGTACACACCTACCTGAGAGTAAGCATCTTTGAATTCAGTGGGATTTACTTTAGAATAAGCATGCCTAGGATTGCATCATGTGTCTGCTGCTGTGGGAAAATCTTAGCCCGCTATCATCACAACCCCAAATCTTTTCGAGCAACGTAGTAGAAGCTGCCATTTCTTGCCAAGTGCAAATCCAGGTAAAAGATACATTTATGTTCCCCACGCTTCTGCTGTATAGTGATGCAGCTATGTAAGCTTGGAGCTAAAACAAAGTCTGTGCTTAAAGCAATCCAAAAGGGGTTTTTAAAGGATAAACAGTGATTAGCACTACTCTCCTGCTTAGAACTAATGAGCTGTTCATACAACCTTGAAGCTATATGTTCTTTGCTATTAAACAGTAATGTGGCTCTAACGGCTATTGTCATTATTATTTTTACTTTTATAGCCCTCCTTTTTTCTTACAAGGAACCAAAGGTGGCTTACATACTCTTCCTCCTCTCCATTTTATTCTCAGAATAACCCTGTGAGGTAGTTTAGGCTGAGAGTCTGTGACTGGCCCAAAGTTACCCAGTGAACTTCATGGCTAAATGGGGAGCAGAACCTGGTTCTTCTGAATCCTAGCACAGCTCCCTGGTCACTAGGCTGTGTAAGGAGTAAATCCCAGTAGTGACGATACGGAGGCAAACTACCAAGCAGTACAGTTTAATTCGTTCTTGCAAGAGCAGGCGCCCACCACACAGGCAGCGCACTGTTTACACACAAGACATTGCTTTTTATTCCCTTTTCCCTGCTCGTAGACCCTTCCTCTTTTCTCCCATTCGCTGGGCTACTAAGAAGTTAGAATCTTCTCCGTCCGCTTACTACCCCTTGATTTGCTCCCCCTCCCGCTCATACATCCCATGTTCATGCTAATAAGCCTATTACCTATGAGAGGTGTGACATTTACTATTCACGAACCTATTAAGTGTGCACAGTACCTTCTAAGAGGTCAACAGGCCAGCTTGGCCTTGGAGTCTCTCACTTGATGCCAACTTGTTTCCTAAATCTTGTGGGAGGATGAGATAGGGCGAACAGGCCTTCCTCCAAGCTCATTACGGCCAGTTGTAAAAGGCAATCAATTTCCTACTCTCTTTCAATGAAGGTGACAGTTTTACCACTCCCCCCCCTCCAATTTTTACCCTCTCTGGGTTTTTTTTTTTCAGGACTTTGATGTAAGAAACACTATTACTTTTAGTACAACTATTTACATGGTTCTATCCTCAGGCCTTTTGGCCTTAAGGGACTCCAGTGATCCTATCCTAGCCCTATATTTCACCCTTTCTTTGATTTTCACTTTACCACTTAGTAACAGTAATATTTCATTTCTCACAGCTGCACTGGTTCTCCTTAGTTATATCCATAGGATATAGAAGAATGGGCATAGAATATCCATTTCAATGAAGCTGTAAAGTGGCCTTCCCCAACCTGGTGCCCTTCAGAGTTTTTGGACTTTCACACTGATTAGCCCAAGCCAGCATGACCAAAGGTCAGGAATGCCAGGAGTCGTAGTCCAGAACATCCACTTGAGGAAAGCTGTAAAGCATTCATTTTTAAAAAGATGGTTACATTTGTATGCTGTCTTTTAACTGAGGGGCTCATCTTAGTATTTGGAGGTCTGCTTGAATGTTTACACCTTCAGTATATGTCAGGAGCTGCATGGAGAGAGACACGGACCCTAGTCTGAGCTCCTTTTATTCACCATCAGAGAACCAGCAAACTACTGTCTCACTTCCCCCTGCTGCTTTATTATGGGGAAAAGGTCTGAATGGACCTAGCCATAATATTTTTAATCAGAAATTATTGTTTTTGAGCCTGGAGTGCTTCTCCCAGAGAACAGTGCTGAATAGCCCCATTCACCTTCTCTGTAGGATCCTGAACCCTTGCGGCATTCATGTGTGAAAAGGATTTTGTTTAATGAGGCAAGCCAAGAGTTTGCTTTGAAATCTCCTGAATTCCTTTTCTAGCCACCCCCCACTACTCCCCTGCCCCCAAGAGGACACGCTGGTGCAAGGTTTCTTCTAAGCTGTAAAAGACACAGCAGTGGTTGCAACTTCACAACCTTCGCTGCACAGAGACACATTTTCTGGTGTCATTTCGTTGCCTCGGTATGAATTCTAAGAAACTGGCTATCTTGAGTTGCTGCCTTCTCCTTGTTGTTTGGGGTAAGTCTGTTTTTCCTTATTCTTTCTTCTTCCTCCACACTCATATGATTTCTCTCCCTTCCCTAGCAAAATGTGCAGAGCATTTCTCAATTTCCCACACAAAGAATCCCTTGTTGGGAACACCAAAACATGGCCTCTCGTTGCCTGCAGTACATCAGGAGCCAAAGGAGCCAGGCTGTGCAGGTTCCAGGTTCCGAGTGCAGAACGCCTTCACAAGTCCAAGGGAAAAAATGCATTGCTCAGCAAATGTGAATGATCTTCTGCATAGGAAGATTTGACAAGTCGAACTAAAGATCAGGAATTTTTGAAAATGTGTTATACTAGGACTAGGGAAACCTGGGTCAAAAGCCTGCTCCATAGATGATCTGGGCCAATCACACATTCGACCCACCAGCCTTCCTCACAAGGCTGTTGTGAGGATAAAAGCAGAAAAAGGACAAAAACAGCTTTGTAGCCATCCTTGGAGAAAAAGTGGGATATAGATGTGATAAAAATGAAACATGGAAGTATTCCTCTAGCAAAAACTTGAGCTTTTTCTTTTGGTTCTAAATCCTCCTCATTAGTAATCAAGCAGAAACCACTATTTGGGTGGGAGAAAGTAATTCCTTCACAGATAAAGGTAAAGAAACAGATTAACTTGAGATGTTTTGTGCATAGCAAGACTTGAGGATAGTTTATGAATTCCAAATGTAATCAGCCTCAGTGTTTGTGAATTGTGACCTGCAGGGTTAAGTCTAGAGAATATTCAGTTTAGTTTTGAAAAAAACCAGTTAAAAGTAGCCTTTGTCGTGTTAGTTTAATATATTTTTTAAGAAAGCATCTAAGTTATGTAGGCCCAAAGTCCTAGTTTTGTGAAGTATATGGTATACTTTAAAACATCTTCTTGTGGACTGTACATGCCCTTTATATGCTTGAAGGTGTGAGGCCCAAGAAGTGTATTTAATCTCACATTCTTCCCCCTTGCATGTTTATTCAGAAATCAGCTCCACTCAGTTTAGTGGTATGTTGGGATAGAAGGCCCATTTAACTCTTTCCCATCTGCTCAAAATCACCTCTCCCCAGTTTCACGTAGCATCATTGAGCAAAAGCACAACAATTCCATTACTTGTGGCTGGAACAAAAAGCAAGGGAATTTATATTAGGTGGTACTTCAAACAAACCTTTTCTTAAAAGTATGATTTTAGAGAAAATATATAAGGCTGAAAGAATATGAATTAAGACGACCCTCTGTTTTCCCCCTTCCACTTCTCCCCCGCTATGCTGCTGAAACATGTAATCTATGAAAACTAGTTTCATTTTAACTGGTGACATTAGCTCTTTTGCTGGGAGGACCCCATGGCCCACAGTGGGGAACTGGGACTGCTAAACTGGTTCCAGACCTCCTGAACTTGCCCACTTGAGCTAGATCTTTACTGTTCCAGTATTTTTGAGCAAGGCATTTTTAGCACAGTTGATAAGGCTATAAAAATGAACAGCACATTAGCGACTGCTGTTGATCCTTTAAAAAAACAAACCCAAAGGCCTCCCTGTCTAAAGTGTATAGTGTATAGTGTACCTGCAAAAAAATGTTGCAGTGTGGGGAACTCAGGTGCAGTGTGCCAGCTGGTCCATCATGACCTTTTGGGAATACTTCATGTCCCCTCCCTCCAGGTTTTGCCTTCTGCCTCCTCCAGTCCAGCCAGTCAAACTTCCTTTCCTATGTTCCATCCTCATTCCATTCTCATTTCATTCCCTGTCTCACTTAGAGTTTTGTCCCCTCCATTGATTCTCCCCCCCCCCCCCCCGGAAGACTTACAAAAAGTTCAACAAAAGACTCCAACGAATCTTGCAGTCTCCCTGAAGCCTGCCAATACCACCTTTGTGTAGGGATGGTGGTGTTGGGATGGATGGTGGCAATATGAGCACATGTTCCTAGATAAGCAGATTCTTTGTGGTATATGGGAAAGTTCAGAGAGTAAAAACTGGGAAAAAATCTAATTTGTTAGCTTATTGGAATTTTCTCATGACTCAGTAGGGTCAGCTCTGTTGAATGGCTGACTGACTGACTGACTCATTTTGTTGATTGATTTCATTTCTGTATCACCAAATAGCTGAAACTCTCTGGGAAACTCTTAATGATTCATAACATTGCTTAGCATAAATGCAGATATTTAAATGCCATATGACATTTCAGTATACACAATTAAAAGAATTTATTGAGCCAGTGAGTTTCCCGGCTGAGTGGGAATTAGAACCTGGATACCTTGAGTTCTGGTCCCACATTCTTACCACTACACCATTTGCTACTATACCACCTGGTAGCTTGCAACTCTTGGGCTGGACTGGAGACAAAGTTTAGCAAGAACTAATACATGATGATTATCATAAACAAGAAGTTCTGAAAAACTAAAATGGGTAGAACCACTTTCATATATTCAGTCTTCGTTTATCTACAGAGTAAAACTAGATGTCCCTGCTGTGACATCTTATATACATTTTTCTTCATAGTTGAATGCCAAAAAGAAAAACACCCCAAATCTACAGAGAAGATCACAAAGACTGTAAAAGTCAGCAATCCCAAGTTTTCCAAGGTGACTGGACAAAAAACACATCAGGAAGCACCAAAGCACAAAAAGAAAGGCCAAGTCAAACCCACCACAGCTTCCCGACAAGGACGCCCACCCTTCTCCGCTCTAACACGGGCAGTGGCAAAGGGGCAGTTTCAGAAAGTTCCTAATATACTTGTGCTCAGAGCAGGTGACATGCTGGACCTACGCTGTAAGGGAATGGCTGTCAAGTGGAGATATCCCCCCTACCTGGAGGATGCTGAGGTTGAGAGACGTCTCCGGTGGGTAGTGGGGCTGAACTTCTGTCAGTTGAATTCCTCTGAGAATCCCTCAGGGGCTGCATTCAGTGCTGGGTGGGGGGCTCAAAGGCAAGAGAAGTGGGGCTGAAGGCAAAGAGGCAGGCCTCCAAATTCCAGCCTATCTGAACTTAAAGCTCTTGCTGCCAATAACTAAACCTGAGAAAAGAGATTTCAACCTTGGTGGTTGGGAGAGAAGAGCTGCAAACAGGGGAAGGGGGGTGGCCTCTGGGGAAACCTGGAAGGCTGGACTGGAATCCCAGGATTAGGTCCCAGGGCCTGAAATTTGTACCCAGGCCCAGTGTGTATCAACAGTGGAGAGAGTGCCTGTATCTGGGGGTGGAAAAGTGGGGAGAATTACTGTTTTTGTCCTCGGCCTTGCTCAGCTTATCTCTTCCAGAATCAAATACTTTGAAAAGCACAGCCAGCTGATAGTCCTCAACTCCACAGCAGCAGACACGGGCGAGTACAGCTGCTGGTCGCTCCAGTGCCGTGATGGTGATTGCCGTGATGGAAACAGCAGACTGAGCCAAACATTCATCTTCTTCACAGGTCAGCCTTTTTCAGAGTTTGATGGGATAGATTACTGAGCTATTCAGACTTTATCATTCTGCATTTAAGGACACCAAAACATCCTAGGACTAAAAGAAAGACCTTGTTTGTGGTGCTGTGGACACCAGGAAGCTACTTTTGGGCATCGGAAACCCACAGTGGAACATCTTCTACATAACCCCAAACCAACAGTTTACTCCTTCAGAACTATCTGAGACTACTGTAACCTCTGATCAAGGGGTTTTGTGAGCAAAATTAGAGCAGGGGGAGGTATTTGTTTACTTTCACCTTCTGGTATCAGAAATGCATAGCCACAAGACAGAGCAAGCTCTTAGAACAAACTGGACCGTTTGTTTGCTAGGCATGCCATTCCAACTGTGTTGTATATTCACCGTGGCGATGGAATCTGGGTTCAAATAGGGATGCTAACTAGCTTATTTACAGGATTCCCTACTGCTTTCTGGCAGTGCTTGCAAAATAGGCCATTAACAAGGCTTTTCTAAGGCCAAAGAATGACTGGAGGAGGTGGAGCCTGGCTTATACTTATGGAGGCACAGCACAGGTTATTCACCTTACATTGCTGCAACACACTTCCTGTATCACAGTGGCTTTCATGCTGGCTGCACCTCTCACTTAAGGAGCAGAGGAAGCCTCTGGCCCATCTAGCCCGACATTCTTGATATTGGGCAGGTTTGCATGTCATACCAAGCTACCTTGCAAATAAGCCGTGATGGATAGATATTCATGGAACAGCTCACAGTACGCCCAACAAACGACCAGGCTTGCCAGGGTGACCTCTCCCTTTCCTTCCCCCTTTAAGCCCTCCAGCCAGCTCTGGCACATATTCCAGACATATGCAACTTTGAGACAAAACTCTTCTTGGTTCCTTGTACTGGACTACTCCTGTTCTGATTGCCTCCTCTTTTTGTTTTCAAGCACGCTTTGTTTCTTTCAGTGCCTCAGAAAACTGCAGTTGGGGTTGTAAATTGATAATAATAATAATGAATAATCATTTGTTGGTCTTTTTCAGGTGCTCTCTTAGAGCTCTCCCGTCTTGCCTGGTCAATTTTCTTGCATGTTTCAGCTGTCAAAGAAAGAAATTAAAGGGAGTAGTGACATACAAGGACATTGACAAGACCAGGCTAATTTTCACACAGTTGGGAAGGGCTGGGGGAAAATAATAGTAGAAAAGAAAAGAAAAGCATACTAAAAGAAAGGAGGGACTTAGTAGTGCAAATCAGAAGAAACAAAACTGGGAGTAGTGAGGGGGGAGCCAAAGGAATAAGTGCATCTACAGGAGGAGAGAATTTCCCTCATGGCAATGTGACTCTTTTCGTTGTAGAACTGTAGAACTGAATGGTTCTGCCATTTCAATACTTGCAGAAAGTGGCAGTATTAACCTTTTGCACCTCTTTTTCAGAGCAGTTTGAGAAACCAAAAATAGGTGGGAGGGGATAGGAAATGAGTGATCGTCTTTCCAAAGCGCCATTTTGGCATTGAGGACATGGCAATCACTAGTGAGGTTGTGAAAAGCAAGTGCTGTGGTTTGTTTGGTTTTGGGGGTTTTTTGGCCACGGTTGCCAAGTGGCTTTGCAGCCACATGCACCCACCCATGCTAAAAGTGATCTGTCAACTGCGCATAAAGTGGCTACCATCATGGCCAGGAACAAGCCTACAGTGAGCCACAAGTCCTGCAAAATAAGTCACCCCGTGGAAAATGCCCCAGTGCAGACCACAGGACAGCTGCCATGCCTGGCCAGCCAGGTTAGGCCGTAGAAGCCCAGTTGCTGACGGGCAGTAGCTCTCCAGGAGCCCTCTGGGGGAATTCTCTCACAGCCGTCTCCAGGGGGTTGAACACGGGACCTTCTGCATGCAGAGCAGGAGCTCTAGCACTGATCTGCCTCTGTTTGACTTTACAAAGGACAGCCCTCTCGTGGGAGGGCAGCCCTGGATTTAGAGAATGCGGAGCAGGAGCGTGATGTTGCCCTCAAGGGAACAGGCGCACCAGTCGCCTGGCCAGTCCTGCCCACTATCGCAACACCTACGGTATTTCCACATACATTATAGTCCTTATTGCTACATTTGTATGCAAGTCCTTTGCTGTATCTTGTGGTGATGTATTTCCTCTGTTTTGGCAGTGCATAAGTGGCCACCCCAGGTTTCTGTGAAGTTACTGTAAGGTTGTGCTAGACCCCTGATGAGAAAACATGGAATGACATCCAGCACTATATGAGCTTTCTCTCTGTGCCTCCACGTTGCACACCCACCAGATCATCAGTGCTGGCAGACGAACACACTTGGATACAACCCTGTCATTTTATTGTTGAATAGGGTCATCAGCTCGCTGGCCCTAAACAACTGCTCTGTCTCAGTCCTGTGACTTGTAGTAGATAAATCAGTTGGTGAAACTTTTCATGGCTGTGCATCAATGGCTCTTAAAAGAGGTACAGAAAAACTGGCATCTCCCGCCTGACAATGGTTCTGATATGCCCTTTCCAACCAGGCGAGAGATTACAGTAACTTTGCAGAACTACTTATAGCTACAAAAGGAGAAACTATCACACATCCATGTGCCACTGCCTGCTTTCTCCTCAGACCCTCAGGAGCTATTTGTGCCCACCGAGGATTACTACGAAGTGATTCAGCTGCGTACAAACCACGCCACCCTTCTGCCGTGCCAGGTGACAAATCCACTCGCCAAAGTGACCCTGCACCGGGAGTTCCCCCCAGAGAAAGTGCCTGTGGATGGGATAAGCATCTCCTACGATGTGAAGAGAGGCTTCATGATCCACCGCCCACATCCGTCCCTTGCTGGCTCCCTCTTCTGCATGGCAAACCTGGATGGAGTGAGGCAAATTTCCACAAAATACATGCTGCTCTATGTGAACTGTAAGTCACCTTAAGAGTGAATTGTAAGTCTCCCTCTCTCACACCCACATGCACTCCTAGAGATGTTTTCTGTACAAATCCAAATTAATTTAACATAAGACCTCTAAGTCTGCAGGAAGGGGGTGATGACCTTGAGAAATATAACAAGCAGGGCCGTCTTAACAGCATTATGGGCCCCGGGCAAAGCAGTGTACTGGGGCCCCTACGACAACTACAACTCCTGTTAATTTTGGAAGTTTTCCAATTTTCCAAGGATTAACATACACTGATTAGTATGTGACCCACGGGCAAGTGCCATCAGGCCCACGTGTTAAGATGGCCTGATAACAAGCATCCTCATCAAAAGTTCAATTGTTCTGAGAAAGGAATATGAATCTGATAAAGCACGTGTATGAAATCTATTGTTCTGACCACAACACACACTGGACTGTGTGCCTCTCCAGGCATCTAAACTCAATCCAGTTTCTATAACACTATAAATCAAATTTGCATCTTTACTGAAGCACAATGTAAATAGTGAACAGCCAATAAATTCCGGATCCATTCTTAGCTGTGGAGGGAGGAGGAACGGAGGGGATGGACTGATGACATGAAAAAACCTTCTGGCTGCAATCCAGAGCAGCAGATGGGAGCCAGGCCTGTGGGAGCAGCAAGAGCTGAGAAAGAGCCGATGAAGAGTGCATTAGAAGTTCTTCTTGGGGGCGACTAATGCAGGATTGTCAACAAGTTCTGATCAGCCACTCACAGATTCAGAGAGAAGTGAAGCAGTCACAAATGCAGAATTAGGGGGCAAGAATGTAACGAGTAACAGGATACCCACTTGGGATGGAACAGACTATGCTTATGATCAGGGTGTCTAGGTACCAGGCTATAGGGATCGGCTCAGCTGGTTCTGTGGCCCAGAGTCAGAAAGCTGGGTAGGATCAGCAAAGCTGACACTTTGACTCAGTGTAGGCAAGTCTCAGGAAGCCACAGCTGGATGTTAAGATGGCCAGGCTGCTCTGCGTGAGGGAAAAGTCTCTGGCTACTTCTGGCTGAGCTGCTGACGTCCTAGATGTTTGGACTTCATCTCCCATCAGCCCCATGCTGACTCCATATTTGGGACATTTTCCTTTGGAACTGAAGTATTTCTGATTCAGGGGGGAGTTGGCACCTGTCCAGATTCAGGGCCCTCTTTCTACACTGACCCCCTTCTCTGTGACTTGCAGAAAATGCTGCCAGTCCAATGTTGGTGAATAAATAAGCAGTCTTGTATTTTAGAGTATTTCTTTTCTCCCTCAGTCCAACAAATTTGGAAGGGAAGAAAAGAACAGGGCTAGACTGGGAAGCATATGAGATACCTAACACATAGTATACTCTGCCTGAGAAGTGTGGAGCATCTTTCAATGTGAGGATGAAACTCCATTTCGGAGAAGCTTTGGGGGCTAAATGCCAGTTTTGGGTGGGCAAAGACAAAGGATTGGGGCCAAAATATTTAAGCACCATTTAGCTGAAAGCTCTTACTATCAGTCATTAAGTCTTAGGAGAAGGTTTTCAGCCTTTTAGAATGTGAAAACACTGCACAAATGCTGGGGAATTACCAAATGACTGGTGGTCAGAGGACTGGTGGGGCCAGGGCAAGGGGGCATGGTCTTTCTCAGAGCCCCGGAGGGTCAAATTGGCCAGGGCGACTTCTTTTATATCTGGCCAGGGCGACTTCTTTTATATTGTTATTTATTTTATATTGTTAGTTTTATATTGTTATTCTTGTACTATATTTTATGTTGTGAGCCGAAGTCCTGAACATAAGGTTCTGCAGCCCTGCTTTACCCCATTTGTATGCAGCGTGTGCTGCAATTGGGAGAAATGCGGGATTTTTCACCAGTTGTCCTTGGGGTTCTAAGCTCATGACTGAAAAGACAGAAGTGTCCAGCACACCGAATTTTTCATCCTCTATTTCCACCCTACAGATCCCTCCTCAGTGCCCAAGCCGTCTATCAGAGCCTCAGCAGCCTCTTTTCGCGTTGGAGAAAACTTCAATGTCACTTGCACTGTGTTTGGCGAACCAGAAATTGCTGTTGATTTCACGTGGGAATATCCAGGACAGCAGGTAGGTACTGGGGTGCCACTGGGGTGAGTGGGTGTGGGAAAAGAGATGTGGCTTGCCCAGTACAGAACTGCTCTCTCAAGGCCTTCTCCTCCGCTGCTGATCTGTGGTATTTTCCCCTTAGAAATCCAAACAAAGGACTATCATGACCCATGAACCCAGCAAAAGAGAGGATGCAAAGCCAAGCTGCGTAATCATGAGTTTGACCTCCTTGAAGGAGTAGGTCAGAGACGGAATGAAAAGATAAATTGTTCTTCTTGAGAAAAACACCCAGAGCCTTGTCATGTGGCTTGCTCACACCTGGAGAATTTTGCGAGTGCTTCCAGGTGGACAGTTCCTACTGCTGCCCATTGAAAGGCCCTGTGCAGCTTAGCTGTCTTTTCGTCCACAACAGATTCTTTTGTGGAAAGACAGAGATGCAAGAAGTGTCAGAAAAGTATGGAAGGGTTACATATGGAAGAGAACATCAGGAACCCAACCTCGCCCCAGTAAAATTTTGTGAATATGGCAGAGTGATTGTGTGGTAAAAGCTTTGTCTGGGAGTGCTGTAAACATGCGGAAAAGGGATGAAGCTGCCACTGCTGATGACATTTTTCTAATAACTGCTTTAAAGCAGCAGCTCTATGCTCATTTAGACAGGAAAAAGTCCACTATTAAAATGCCTCCCACTACTCCACTAATACAATATAAGCACTATATGCAGTACCAATAAAAGGTCACAGCTCACTAAAAACGACCAGATTAAAATGTCTTTTAGAGAGTGATCTTAGAGCCCTAGGCAAGGGTCAGGTGGTGCATAGGAGGGGAGGTGTCCCCACCAAGGCCATGAGTTAGGACTTTAGGGAGAGAGGAGACCTAAGCAGGGGTTGCTCTGCTCCCCACCGTGCCTCTCAGTCCCACAGGACCTCATGGTAGCTCCTCTCCAGACATCAGTCCTGTGAGCTTGGAAGAAGACGGGGTGGGAAAAAAGAGGGAATGCCGGTTGGCAGGGAGCAGGGGCGCCCTGGATCCACTACAGCACACAAGTGTCTCAGTCCTAGCCGCACACACAGCAAGGTGAGTCGCAGGGGAGCTCAGAGGCCCTTCTACTCCTAAATGGAGTAAAAATTTTGCCACTTCCTGCGTGCTGCCTGGCTCTAGCTGCCTGGGCTTAGAATAGACAGAGGTCTTAGAATAGACAGAGATCAAAACCTGCTGTCTAGCCAGTGTCAGACTTGTAGGACTGCACCCAAAGGTTATCTTAAACATACCCAAATATATAGGGCTTTCCTGGACCTTATATATTTCCACTGGGAGTATCAAAAGTGATGTCACTGCTGAAAATTACAGGCTGCTGTGCCCTAGCTTTGCTTCTTTTTGGTTTCCAAGCTATATTTGGACATGGGAGAAAACTCAAAGTCACTCTGGAGCAATCTTGTGCTCTTGCCTAGACTTTTGGATGGCAACTCAGTCTTAGGCAGAGATAACTGCCTGTACCTGATCCAAAACCCTGAATTATGATCAAGGTCCCAAAGTTGGTGGAACTTCAGATGAAATGTCCTTCCATGGAAAATGGGGATGCAGTTCTCAGAACCATAAACATCTGTGATTCTGCCAGGTTGCCAAGATGTTTTCTTTGGGGAGAATTTTTAGCTGGTGCAAATGCTTGGTCTATGTGATCGGGAACATGGTGATACCCAGGCATGCATTCTACCACTTACTATTTATTTATTATATTTATATCCTGCCTTGTTTCCTTCAAGGAACTTGGGGTAGCTTACACAGAAACATAGCAAATCAGAAGGAGCCTCCTGGGCCATGTGGTCTGACTCCTGACACAAGTTGGTCCCACTTGTGTAATCCACAACACGTGGTTGTCCAATCTTTCCTTGAATGCCCACTACCTCCCATGGAAGCTCATTCCATATCCTAGGGGTCCTAACCATCAGGAAATACTTCCTGACATCCAACCTAAAGCAAAGTTCCATTATTTTCACCCCACTGGATCGTGACCTTCCCTCCACCACAGAGGAGAACAGGTCACAACCCTCTTCCATGTGACACCCATTTGCATACCTTTATAGACATAATTTTCATTTTGCCCTCACAGTTATCCTCACAACAACCCTGTTAGGTAGGTTAGTCTGAGAGTCAGCAACTGGCTCAAAGTCACCCAGTGAGCATTGTGACTGAGTGGAGAGTTAACCCCAAATGTCTCCATCACAGTGCAAATCTTTAACCACTACACCACACTGGCTCTCTACACTACTCTTGCTCACTACACTTCATTAAATTGCTTTACCTTGTACAGAAGCTGTGACGGTTGAGGAAAGTCACATATCAATAGAGAGTTGTTGTCTTTACTTACCTTTATCTTTCTTGTGTCAATACTCCATGCATTTGCTCATGCCATTCCTCTTCCAGATGGTTTTGAGTTAGGGGCATTGCATTACTCCAAATGGCTAACTATACTACCCTGCTGTTGCCTATCTGGTCATCACTTCTTTGGCCCACCGTGCACTGCAAAACCTCAGAGTATATCCAGCATGGACCTGACATAGGCACACGCTGAGGTTATCAATGGCCACAAGTCCTGATGGCCGCATGCTCCCTCCAGATCAGGGGAAGGATGCCTGGGCATGCCAAGTGCTGGGGAACATGGGTAGGGGCTGCTGTTGCCCTCATGTCCTGCTGTGGGCCTCCCACAAGCTGCGGGCTGTGTGCTGTGTGTCCGGCATTCTGCACTAGATGGGCCCTGGGCCTGCTCCAAGCAGGACTCTCCTTATGCAGCTCTGTGCCTGAGGCTGGTGCCATGGCCAGACATGTGCTTTAGTGTGAGCTGGAGGCCCTGGCATCTTGTCTGCAGCAACCTAGCCTCATTTTGTCTCCCTGCTGTTTTTCTCCCCATGTTGTGCCAAGACAGCATCTTCTGCTTTGGGAGGCAGCGTTGGCAGTGGTTTGGCAGGGCATGACTACAAGGCACGTATGCAATCATCTAGCACAGAACCTCAGGCCCATAGGCGAAATCTAGCCCTCTGGGGTTCTGCTGATGGCCACGGCCCCTTTGCTTCGACCAGTGCTCAGGCAGGTGGGAAGTAAATACATGGCTCCACCAAGCCAAGAAGCCCCCCAGCTTCTGCCTTGATGGGCATGAACAGGCAGGGCTGAGGGTGAGGTGCAAGATCAGGGTGCAGAACCTTGGGCTCTGAATCTGTCCATCCGGCATTCCCCAGGAGGCCATGCGCCCTTTCCCCGGCTGCCCCTCGACCACATCCGTGCCCACCAATCATTCGGTGTCACGTGGCTCTTGTGCTGTTCCTCCCTGCCTCTGCCCTTCCTGAAAGGTCGAAGTGGCTCTCCTAAGGCTTGGTGGATGACTGTAGGTCAAGAAGATGTCACAGGGATCATATTGCATCCGCAGCCACCGCACAGGTTGCTCCTGTTCTTGTCTTTGCAGCCACATGGGAGGCAGTACTGAAATCTCCTGGCCACTGGCTGCAGCATGTTCCATCCATGGGAGGTAACCTTTTTTAAAATAATACCCCTCCTCATTTTCAGATTGGCAGACCACCATATGTCCGGGAACACACCGAATTGGTGCGTCATGGTGGACAGGTGCAGCAGGAATCTGAAAGCATCCTATACATTGATGAAGCACGTGCTGTGGATGATGGGGTGTATACCTGCATTGCCCAAAATCTGCAGGGTGCCACCACAGTGTCTACTGGGATTCACATGCTTCCAGCCACGCTGGCCCCAAGGAAGGCAAAGTCTGGATAACCCTCTATGGCCTGTATTGCTGAATACTCAGCTGTTCTTTGAAACCCAAAGATTGGAAGGTGCTACTAAAAACAGGGATACAAAGTTGCCTTCCCTGGTTTTGCCTATTAGCCTTTCTTGCTTACTCATTAAAATAGCAAGCTTTTTTTTTTCAAGCAGAGAGTAAACATTTGCTTACAAGGTGTTGTGATACTCTCTATTGCCAGAAGCAAGGGTGCATAATCTGTAGCCCATGGCCACTCCTGCCAAGCCAGTACATACCTGTACATACCTGTGTGGGTAAAACACTGTCCCAGTGCCATCGCCACCGGCACTAGGACAGTGGACTCATTGGTAGGTGGGATGAGTGAAAACCTCTCCACAGGCCTGGTAAGCCAAGAGCAGTGGCAGAGGACCAGCAATCTGGAGGGCGATTGCTGGAGGGTGGGAGGGGGAATGTGTGTCTGTGTGGGGAGGGAAAAGGCATAGATACATGTGTGGTGTGTTTGAATGCATGTGTGTATGCTGGGCACCTGGGTGAGCCCTGGATCTGGCTCCGGCTCCGGTTCCCGAGCCAACATGCCATAAGATTTGCCTTATACAAAACCAGTCTTACTGTAATGTACATAGTTGCATCCCTCTGCAAACATGGCATGGCCTCTCCTCTCCTCTCCTCTCCTCAACACAAGCCTCCTTCTAATAAGCTTCCACTGAGAAAAAATAGACTTTTTCCACCAAGGAGATACTCTGACCAGTTTGAAGCTCTCCATTTGTTTTATCTTCATGACTTTTCCTGATTATGATGTTCATGTTCATCTGCTTTTGCCTACATGGCAAGTTTTATAGCAATTTTCACCCATCTGGATGGTGAATGCTGGGAGCTGGAGTCCAACACACCTGGGGGGCACCAGATTGGGGAAGGCTGCTCTATAACATCTGATCCAAATAGCCAGTTTGAGTCAATTTTCCACTGAGCAAAAGTGCAACATATATGCACAATATCACATTCCCAAAATAGTAAAATGCTTGTTGTTGTTGTTAGTCATGAAGTCGTGTCCGATCCATCGCAACACCATGGACAACATTCCTCCAGGCCTTCCTGTCTTCCACTATCCCCCAGACAAAATTCTACCAGCCTGTGCCCTGCTTCATTTTGTACTTCAAGGCCAAACTTGCCTGTTATTCGGTTATCTTTTGGCTTCCTACTTTAGCATTCCAATCCCCCATGATGATAAGGACATCATTTTTTGGTGTTAATTCTAGAAGGTGTTGTAGGCCTTCATAGAATTGGTCAACTTCAGCCTCTTCAGCACCACTGGTTGGGGCATAGACTTGGACCATTGTGATGTTGAATGGTTTGCCTTGGATTCGAACTGAGATCATTCAGTCATTTTGGAGATTGTATCCCAGTACTGCTTTTCCTACTCTTTTATTGACTATGAAGGCTACTCCATTTTTTCTGAGGAATTCTTGCCCGTAGTAGTATATCTGATGGTCATCTGAATTAAATTCATCCATTCCTGTCCATTTTAGTTCACTGATTCCTAAGATGTTGATGTTCAGTCTTGTCATCTCTTGTTTGGCCACATCCAGCTTGCCTTGATTCATGGATCTTACATTCCAGGTTCCTATGGAGTATAGATCTTTGCAGCATCAGACTTTCCTTTCACCACCAGATACATCTGCAACTGAGTGTCCTTTTGGCTTTGACCCAGTCGCTTCATTCTTTCTGGCGCTACCAGTACTAGCCCTCTGCTCTTCCCCAGTAGCATATTGGACACCTTCCGACCTGAGGGGCTCATCTTCTGGCGTCATATCTTTTTGCCTTTTGGTACTATCCATGGGGTGTTCATGGCAAAGATACTGGAGTGGGTTGCCATTTCCTTCTCCAGTGGATCACGTTTTGTCAGAGCTCTCTGCTATGACCTGTCCATCATGGGTGGTCCTGCACGGCATAGCTCGTAGCTTCATTGAGCTACGCAAGCCCCTTCGCCACGACAAGGCAGTGATCCATGAAGGAGAGTAAAATGCTATGCATTAGCAAATTATGACTTATTGTTGCAGAGCCTTCAAAGCACCTCACACCTGGGAAAGGCATTTCAATCTTCAGATTTGATCCGGCATTGCACGCATGCTGCAGTGGGGCTGCTGTGCATTCATTCTTCCAATTTAAATATCCCCACCCAGAAGCCAGGATGGTGTGTATACAGGCATGCCACATAATTCTAAGAATGAACTCGGACATCCCACTAGATTCAGTAATACCAACTCTCTAGTAAGTATGCACATGACTACAGACTTTGGAAGACTACAGTAGTTCAAGCAATCCATTTAGACTGGAGCTGGGAGGACTTGTTTCAGTCCCTCCTTATCAATGTCCTTTCCTTTACAACCCCAGAACATATACTGGACATTATTGCTAACAAGCTGACTAAAGTTCCCTGGCTTGGGAAACCTGCACACAGCAGTTATTAATATATTGGTGGGGTCAACAGACTTGAATCTTTTAGGATCTACTTCCTTTTTTGTTGGATCCACAAGTTCCACCCAGCAGGTCCAGGTGCAAAACAGTGGCTCAGAAAGGGGGACATAGAACTGAGAAACAAGGTGCCTCTGAGCACCCAGAAACCTTTCCATGCACACATCTGCTCCTACCCACCACCTTTCTTATTTAGGGGAAAGGTTATGTTGTTATGTTGCTGGCCCTACCGTGAGACAGAGTTGAGGCAACTACTCAGAGTGAGACAACTAGGCTGCAGATACTGGTGAAGCACAGTGGTAAATTATTGGAAATACAAACTATATGAAACACATCCCCCCCACCCCCAAGTAGCTTCCTGCTCTCAGGAGGCTGCTGTGCCATCAGCAGTGTTAAACTAAGATTCAGCTAACAGCTTCTGTGCAAGGAGCAGGGGAGAAAATGCCTTGGGCCAGCCCTAATTTCTATTGTCACTTCTGTTGAACCATTGTGAGAACCACTTGCTGATCTACTGCAGATCACTGTGGTGAACTCTACCAGCAAAATCTTCACCTACCATCTGCTTGCCCCTGGCTCACCAGTTTGGGCATTTAATTTTAGATTTAAGAAAAACACTGACACTGATGTAAGAAATACAAATAATTCTTTTTTTTCCAAACAACTTTTTTTCATACAGAATTTTATTCATGAAATATTTTCTTTAACTTTTAAACTTTTCTCTCTTTTTCTGGCCTCCTATAAACCTATTACATTAAAGGAACTTACCTATATTTTCATCTAATTTTTTCAAACAGTGTCAACAGTCCTTGTACAGAATGTAACTTTGCAACTGCTTTGGCGGTGGGGGGTGGGGCTCTTCCTGGTTTCTCCCTAGAAAATCCTCACAGTTCATTCTGCTTCATTAGGATATACAGGTAAGGAATCTAGCAATACAGAGAGGCATTTAAGGAAGGGACTTGAGACAGGCATTGCTGAAAATGATACTTGTTCCTGTAGGCTGCTTGAACTATCCATAAATGTCTTGCAATATCTTTTCAATTTCCTACCGGATGCCTCACAGCTAAAAAAATACTGCCTTTTTGTGTGTGGCTCAAGGTAACAAGTAATCAGTAGATATTTTCTCAGCATGGAGATATGAGTGACAGGACAAGCTTTAGTGGTTAATCATTGCTTCCGGTGGCCAGCCACCTGCTTCTTAAAGAGTCCATGGTGGTCCCATGGTTTACATGGTATGAATGTAAAGACCAGCATGGGTTAAAGAAACACCCTGAGCATTTAGATGGAACATTGGTTGTGTATTGTATGTGTGATTGCGCACTTAAGACTGCCATGATAGGACATTAACTGAGGAATTAGACTGTCTTTGGGAGGGGCTATATCTCAGGGGCTGGGCAAATGCTTTGTGCACAAAGCTTCTCCAGGTAGGGCTGGGAAGACTCCTTCCCAAAACTCTGGCGTGTCCCTGCCAATCAGTATAGAGAATCCTGAGCCAGATGCACCAGTGGTTTGACTCAGTCTGGGGCAGCTTTCTGTGCTCCTATGAGGACCTTGGATCTCACCAGAAGACATCACCTTGGTTAAAGATAGCTACCTAAAGGGCCAGGAGATCCTGTTCATCACATACTGGAGTACAACTCTGCATTGCAGCCTTCTCCAACCAGGTATCTCCCAGATACCTTCCCATAATTCCCAACCAGCATGGCCAATGCTGGGAATTATGGGATTTGCAGTCCAACACTTCTAGGGAACACCAGGTTGGGTAAGCACAGTATATTTTATGTATAACTTTTGGCTCTTGGCAGAGCAGTGGAGCAGCAGAGGCTAGGAAAGTGTGCAGAGGCTGGCCAGGGAACTAGCGAAGGCAAGGAAGGAGCTGGGTAGAGGAGCAGGGGGACAGGAGCAGCGGAGAGGTAGGGAGGTGGGGCCAGAGAGGCCCAGGAGGAAGCAGCGGGGTGGGGCCAGTGGCCTCTGAGGCTTATAAAGTTGCACTCAGCTGTTGGGTGTTGTCCCTTGTCTGTATTTCTTAACTGTGGCCCGGGCTACCCAGGGACTCTCTTCCCCGGGGCCAGTTTTTAAACTGTTATTTGTTTTTGTGTGTAGGTTTTTGTCTGGGAGATCTGGAAGAGTGAAGTCAGAGAAGGGTAGAGCAGGACAGACAAGGCAGGGGAAGAAGGCAGGGCCTGCGAGTGGTACCCAATGTCAGGCCAGGAGATGGCCTTGGTGGGAAACACTGGTGTCATTGTCTGTTGCGACAGTTGCAGCATGCTTGCCCTTCTCCCTCAGGAGAGGCAGGGATACACTTGCCCTTGGTGCAAGCTTGTGTTCCTCCTAGAGGAACCCCGGGAGCATGCCCTGACTTTGAGGAGAGAGAGGTCTGTTGCCTGCCGGGCACATGAAACCATCATGTGAAGGACAGAGTAGAGGGCCCTACTCCCTCCAGGGGCCACCAACTGCTTCTGGTTATCCATGTGGGGATGAACAACACAGCCAGGCAGGGCGTGGGTGGGATCACCAGGGACTTTGAGGCCTCGGGAAGGGACCTAAAGGCCCAGGTGGCCTTTTTCTCTCTTACCAGTCTAGAAGAGCAGAGCCAGAAAGAATGAAGCAACTGGGTCAAAGCTGAAAGGACACTCACTTGTGGATGTCTCTGATGGTGAAAGGCGGATGCTGTAAAAACAATACTGCATAGGAACCTGGAATGTAAGATCTACGAATCAAGGTAAGCTGGACGTGGTCAAATTCAGGCTTAAATTGAAGAAAGTAGGGAAAAGCACTAGGCCACTCAAGTATGACCTAAATCATATTCCTTATGAATATACAGTGGAGGTGGCAAATAGATTTAAAGAATTAGATCGTATACAGAGTGCCTGAAGAACTATGGATAGAAGTTTGCAACATTGTACAGGAGGTAGCAAGTAAAACCATCCCAAAGAAAAAGAAATGCAAGAAAGCAAAATGGCTGTCTGAGGAAGCTTTACAAATAGCTGAGGAAAGAAGTGAAGCGAAAGGCAAGGCAGAAACAGAAAGATACACCCAATTGAATGCAGAATTCCAGAGAACAGCTAGAAGAGATAAGAATGCCTTCTTAAATGAACAGTGCAAAGAAATAGAAGAAAACAATAGAATAGGGAGGACCAGAGATCTCTTCAAGAAAATTGGAGACATGAAGGGAATGTTTCATGCAAAATGGGCATGATAAAGGACCAAAATGGCAGGGACCTAACAGAGGCAGAAGAGATTAAGAAGAGGTGGCAAGATTACACAGAAGAACTATACAAGAAAGAGCTTAACGTCCCTGATAACCACGATGGGTTGGTCGCTGACCTTGAGACAGACATTCTGGAATGTGAAGTCAAATGGGCCTTAGGATGTCTGAGCAACAACAAAGCTAGTGGAGGTGACAGTATTCCAGCTGAGCTATTCAAAATCCTAAAAGATGATGCCGTTAAAGTGCTGCACTCAATATGCCAGCAAATTTGGAAAACTCAACAGTGGCCACAGGATTGGAAAAGGTCAGTTTACATTCCAATCCCAAAGAAGGGCAATGCCAAAGAAAGTTCAAATTACCACACCATTGCACTCATTTCACACGCTAGCAAAGTTATGCTGAAAATCCTACAAGCTAGGCTCCAGCAGTATGTGGACCGAGAACTACCAGAAGTACAGGCAGGGTTTCGAAGAGACAGAGGAACTAGAGATCAAATTGCCAACATACACTGGATCATGGAGAAAGCTGGGGAGTTCTAGAAAAACATCTACTTCTGCTTCATTGATTATGCTAAAGCCTTTGATTGTGTGGATCACAACAAATTGTGGGAAGTTCTTAAAGAGATGGGAGTACCAGACCATCTTATTTGTCTCTTGAGAAACCTATATGTGGGTCAAAAAGCAACAGTGAGAACTGGGCACGGAACCACTGATCGGTTCAAAATTGAGAAAGGAGTTTGGCAAGGCTGTATTGTGTTGCCCTGCCTATTTAACTTATATGCAGAGCACATCATGAGAAAGGCGGGGCTAGATGAATCACCAGTTGGAATTAAGATTGCTGGGAGAAATATCAACAACCTCAGATATGCAGATGGTACCACTCTAATGGCAGAAAGTGAAGAGGAACTAAAGAGCCTCTTGATGTGGGTGAAGTGGGAGAGCGCAAAAGTTGGCTTGAACAACTTTTCAACAACTCAACATTAAGAAAACTAAGATCATGGCATCCGGTCCTCTCACTTCCTGGCAAATAGATGGGGAAGAAATTGAGGTAGTGACAGATTTTATTTTCTTGGGCTCCAAGGTCACAGACAGTGACTGCAGCCAAGAAACTAAAAGACGCTTGCTCCTGGGGAGGAGAGCTATGGCAAATCTAGACAGCATACTAAAAAGCAGAGACATCACCCTGCGAACAAAAGTGCGTATAGTCAAAGCTATGGTTTTCCCAGTTGCAATGTATGGCTATGAAAGTTGGACCATAAGGAAGGTTGAGCACCAAAGAATTAAGGCCTTTGAATTGTGGTGCTGGAGAAGACTCCTGAGAGTCCCATGGATCGCAAAAAAGATCAAACCAGTTGATCTTAAAGGAAATCAACCCTGACTGCTCTTTAGAAGGCCAGATAGTGAAGATGAAACTCAAATACTTTGGCCACTAAATGAGAAGGAACAACTCACTGGAGAAGACCCTAATGCTGGGAATGATTGACAGCAAAAGGAGAAGGGGATGGCAGAGAATGAAGTGGCTAGATGGAGTCACTGGGGCAGTGGGTGTGGGCTTGGGCGGACTCGGAGGGATGCTGGAGGACCAGAGAGTCTGGAGGAATGTTGTCCCTGGGGTTGTGATGGGTCAGGCGTGACTTTGTGACTAAACAAAAAAATAGTTAATGGAGCACTTTGCTATGTGTCCATGTGAATGCCATTGTATGCATTCTGTTATTCAGAAGAACACAGATGTGGGTTGAATTCTTTTCACCCACCGTTGGCCTGGTTCTAGAAATGACTTTGGGCTGAAGGTTTCTGGTTGGGCTCCTGTGAAACAGATGGTAGCCATTGTCAATAGAATTGACAAATAAAGAGAACAAGCCAAAGTGTAACTCATCACCCAGGAAATGTTGCCCCTATACTTTTCTTACTGTCTCCCCTAAAATGATCCAGCAGCTTCTGGGCATGTCAGCGACTGTGGGTCCTTCCACTGAGACTGCAGGAAGAGTGTTATTGAGGACTTCTCTTATTTATTTTTTATTTATTGGATTTCTAACCCATCCCACTAGCCACATAGCTCTGTGGATGGGTTGCAGCCAAGAAGGGTTCTCTTCTGGGCACTGTCTACCTCCTTACTTTTATTTTCCCACTTAGGGTTACTCAGACCCAGCACCAAATTTTACACACTCTTGGGCAAGGAAATGCTAGTGGGGTTCATTTTCCAAGGAGGATCCCATGGACATTTTCCCCACACAACAGTAGCATTTATGTTCGGAAATTCTTTTCTAACTGTTTCTACTACCAACAGTACAGGTCATGATCAGTAAGAACTGAAGTTTCCGTGTCCCTTACCTAGCAGATGGAAGTGCCTATGCTCAGGAGAGGGGGGTATGTTCACTGGAAGAGGGTGACCAGTCTCTCTGGCTGATAAGGGAGCACATTAAGCTGCCTTAATGTCCGGTCAGCCCACTGGTCCATTTGCTCCAGCATTGTTTTTGTTGACTGGCAGCATTTCTCCAACAATCTTTTGCAAGCAACTACCTTGAACTGGAAATACTGGGGATTGAATCGGAACCTGCAGCATGCAAACCACATGCCCTCCAACTGACCTAGGACCCTCCCACAGACAGTAACCCTTTAGAGCCACAGGGCTGGGAGCTGTTGTTGGCAACAATTACAGTACCAAAAATATAAAATAGCCCTCTCTGCCACTTTGTTATTCTAACTGCAGAGCATGTAGATGAGGATTGCCTTTTTCCAGTAGTGTAAATGCTCGTGGCCACAATTAGAATTTGGTCTACTGCACACTTACATGGGGAGGATTAAAGCTCTTAAAACCATTTGTTTCCCCCTGTGAGGATTAAAAAAGAAAGAAAAACAACCTCCATTAACATGAGTTGCTTTTGAGAAGCAAACAATGGGGACAGAAAAGTTTACCGCTTTCCTTCCAGTGCATACCCTAACCCTAATCCTGATATGAATCAGGGCCACCTGCATTTACTCTTGAGTAAAAAAGATACTCCTCAGCTACATTCTACATACAAAAATGTGCAATCTTGCGCAACGAACATAAGTGCAACAGTTTCCAATGTTCTCCAGCCAGTTAGGCTGATTGTGCTTAATTTAATGTGTGGCTTGATGTTCAGTTTGTTAGGTACTTCAAACACAAGCAGGGGCAGGGGAAGATCAAGGACCTAACAGGTCAGTGCTACACACAGCTCTTGGACCTTATTTGGTTGGGTGGCTCAACAGCTCTGTAGAAATGTGTTCCATTTCCCACACTAGAAACTAGACATCTACTGGCTTTCCTTTAATGTGTAAAACTATTTACAAGCCAGTGTTTGTTCACTACATTCTCTGTTCACGTTGCACTAGAGGACACCATTTCCACCAGTGCAGGCAGTATAAAATGGTTCTTCATCAGAGCCATACATTTCACACCTACTTTGTTTCAGTCCAAGTGCTTCTTTTTGCACCACTGCAATTTGCCTGCAGCTACACATTCCAATAGTAGTGTTTCTGATTCTCTGTACCCAGCAGCATCTCATCACAGCCAGCAGAGGGCAGCCCCTTTAGTCAGCTTCACAAGTCAGTCAGGTTCAAAAACAAAAAACGGAATAGAAGGAAAAGCAGTTCCCTTGGATTTCCACCCAAATGCTCTTGAGTCACAGACCTGATGCGACAAAGAAAAAACTTGCCCGAACAGCCAGAATACATTGTGTTGAAATGGCGTCATTTCTGGAAGGAACGGCATTGGAAGAAATGCTCTTCCAGTTTTCTCCCCGCTGTGTGGAAGATGCTGTGCTGATGCAGTCATGCTGATGGTTAAATGATCCAATCAGGTGAGCAGGGGCCAGCCAGCATCATGGTGAGGGTGCCCTGCAGTGGTCCGGCCTTCTGCTCATCCTGAGCCATTTTTTAAAGTCCTCTTCCAGCCACAGGGAAGCTGGTCATGGAGAGGAGGGTTCTGTGTGGCAGAGACTAAGGCACACGTCAGTTACAAAAGTTCCAGTCTATGCTTTGTCTGCACTCCCCCAAGCATTGCATGTAGGAACCCAAAAATGGCTGAGCTGGGGTCTAGCTCTTTCAGCTCAGATCAGTGCAGCTGCAGAAATTTAACTTTACCCCTGCAAGATCTAGCCCAGGGCTGCTGCTCTGCCTCAACCCAAGAGCTGGATTTTAGGATGGGGAAAACCTGCACAAAAGGCCAGAAACCCCTGAACCATCAAGCAGGCAGGGGAAGAGGGTGTAGCCGTTTGGAGAACCAGACCAGCGCTCTGGAAGGGTTACATTCGGCTCCTGGGACTGGCCTGCTTCATGCAATTAGTATCCTCGTTCCTTTGTCCTTGGCTGCTTCTCGTCTGTGGCCACAGTTTGAGAAGGACTTAGCTGAGGGTAACTGGAGCATCGCCATCCCTCCTGTGGTCTAATATCTGAGGTAGGTAATGTTAGGGCCTCCCTGGTTTGGGGTGGGGCAGAATGCCTCCAGGCAGTGCTTGTTTGCATAGACTGACATGTAAAGAGGTCGAACATTGTCCCTTGGCCAGCATCAAGGCTGTCCTTCTTTGGGTGAGTGGGCAGGTGGCGGAAGAGCACCACTCCTTCTGAAGCAGGACAGTCCCACCTTTTCAAGTGTCCTAATACTGTGGCCATCAGTAGGAGCGACTCAAGGCATGCGGCACCTCAGGAAGCCTCTTTACCCCCGAGTGTCACTGCATGCTAAGCTCTAAGCCGAGCTGCCAAGAGAAGGGCAGGAGAGAAGCAAGGTCTTCTCATCATCTCTCCCTGCCCCACCTCTCCGGCCCTTCAGGTGTTAGGTCACGAGGAAGGGGAGCGGGCGGCCTCGCTGTTCGGCAGCTCCTCCTGCTCTGTAGAGCAGCTGCTCCCTCTCCCGGAAAGCCTGCTCCTTCAGCTGCGTCTCCTTCTCCAGGGCCTCACGAAGTGCAAGGAGCTCTTCAGAAAGTTGCCTGCAAAGCCAGCACACAAGAAAACACATGGCAGCATTAACTGGCAAGGGAGAAAAAGGCACGTGTTCTTTACCAGGAGGGGTGGATGAGAATAGTGTTGAAACCCATTTTTTACTCAGATTTGTCCCTTTTGCAATTGTGAAGGGAAGCGCCTTTTCTCACATTCCCAAACTTCCACTGGCATTCACAAAGTGTGCATTTTAGAAGAGGCAACTTTTCTCCCCCAAATGTGCATTGTCATGCCATAGTCCGCGGGGAAAAGTGAACATTTGGGTGTGCGCTTTTCCCATATGAACACAAGGAAAAACACATCACAGTGGGAGCAAATGGAAGCAAGGCAATTTCAGCTTCAAGTTGGAGCTGAAAGCTCAAGGTGAAAGCTTTCAGAGGATTTTAAGCAAAGGAGGCAAACATGGCAAAACTACATCTTACAGAACCTACCAAGATTTACAGTTCCCTTGACACTGGCACATTTATGATGGCGCACCAGTCTGCTTGGAATAAACCCTTTCCAAGAAATGCCCTTGATAATGGCTGCCAAGAAAGCAGGGTGCATTTATGGCCTGTGCAGAGTTTACGTTGCTGTGGAATACCAAGAAGCATCAACTGGCTGTCCCATACCATTGAAACTTTGAGAAGAAAATAGGAAAGACAATAATATCACCATACTATCTCCTGGGAAAAGCATAATGCTGGTAGAGAAAGAGGTATCACAAATACGCAGAAAATGTTAAAAACAAGGAGATAAACCCAGAAGAATGTGATCGCCTTTCTAGTAATGCAGACGGACCTCATTCAAACTCCTGTACTAACACCAGCCCAATATGGAAGCATGCTATTCAGAACTCACAGGATCATGTCTTACCGAAATCTAGCTCCTTACAGGGCAGCTTTACATCAGATTATGGCTGGAAACTAGTTTTGTTGAATTTTCTCAAACCAGTGGGGTTTGTACCACAATGCAAACATAAATTGCACTTGTTCAGTCATTCAGAAACTGCTATCCCAGGAGCTCTTACCCTAGTTCATGTGATATCTGTGGAGTATTTCTATTTTAATGGCCTCCGTGCTCATGCAGGGATCACATTCACTGAAAGGGCTTAGTGGAATGGCGTATGATTCAAAGACGTACTAACCGAGATGGACATACCTGTGGTAGGAGTCTTTGAGAACTGTGCTCTGCCCCTGCCAGTGGGGCTTTGTACTCCAGATTATGGTAAAACCCCTCGGATGATAGAAAATTATAGCACTAACTTAATTGATCTGGATGCTACTGATACTACTAGGGGAAAATCTCCTGCAGAAAAATGTCCAAGTGCTACAGAGTTGAGCCTTACATGTGCCCAGCTGAATGCCATGCCCCCAGTGTTACCTAAGGGTCATTTCAGAGGAGTTCCATTACAGATTCATGTCTGCCCGTGTGGTGGTAGCGCTGAAACACTTGCCCATGTACCACTGTTTTGCTCTTTCTGCAGAGATGCTCGTAAAGAGTTTATTTGCTCCTTGCTATTTAAGAAGCGGGGTTATTAATCCAACTTTTCCATATCTTTTCTTCTTGTGGACTGGGATAAACAGGTGATGGCACAGACAGCTAAATTCTTAGCAGCAACAATTAGGTCAGGTCAAATATGATATTAAAACTGTAATTTTTACAGACTCACTTGTTTAAATTTGTGTGTGAGGGGGAGATGTATATGCTTTATCTTTATGATCTTAGTATGCTGATTTATATTTATGCAAATGCATACGGCTAATGCACATAAAGGAATATTATTATTATTAAGCAGCTCAAAGTCAAGGCGTATTGGAAATATTCAGCTGAAGCTATTACCTTGTCATTCCTGCATGGTTCTGCATCCGTGCTTGGAGATCTTCATTCTCTTGTTGCAGAGTATTTATCTTAGCTTCAAGAGTGAAGTTCTGTTCCATCTGTGATGTAAGAACCCATAAGATCAATGGAGCAGAAGATGGTACTTACAATACCATCCCCAAATCTTCCCAATTGATATTGGAGATGCAAGGAGTCGGAATCTTGGAGGAAATGTGTTCATATGGAAACCTCTTTTCAAACACATTCGTACAGTGTCAGCTGTATACTGAGAAGTAGAGTTGTACACTGGAAAATCAACTCGTAATCAACTTGGGGGCCGCTGAAGCCTCATTCTTGCAGCCTTGAAGCGCAACATTTTGTCTTCTACAGGAAACCACAGCAAGTAGGTGAGTCGAAAAGAGGGGCCTCGCACCCCTTTCAACACAAACTCTGAATTCCATTTTGAAGGACACATTACAGTGGTGGACAGGGCCAGTGCAAGGAGGTGGAGCCAAAATCACCCAAATCGCCACGAGATTTTAGCTTAGCACTTACTGCCAGCAACTAAGGCTTAGGGGAGGCATCTGAATATTTGCTGCTGTGGAGGAAAAAAGCACTAAAAAGAGGGGAAAGCACCAACTGATCAGTAGTAGAGGGTGCGGCCAAGGGAAGGAGCGTGGACATTTGGGAAACCTGGAGGGCTGCACTGGGCCCACAGGGAGGATGGTCAACACCCCTTGTTTATGTAATATTTGTAGTATCCTGAGTCATAGGGCTTACCAGCTTTGGAAGGCAAAGTGTGGTCACTGAGGTAGAGATTGTGACCCCCGCCCCCTCACAAGTTTCTACTAGTTCCTAGGAACAACTGTGAAAATTAATACATCCGACCCACCACTATTTCCAGGTTGAGGAGCTTTTTCTCCAAGCTACGGATGTATACATTCTTTGTCTCTATGACAAAGTGGAGACTCTCAATTTCTTGCTCCCAGAAGTGGCTTGGGCTTCCATAATCCTAGAAAAACAATGGAAAAACAATTAGATCTGCACTTTGAAGAATAGTCAGTGCCTCCCACTATATACATTGTTTCACGCATAGTGATACCTCAATGAACTTCTTATAATTTTTGTTGAGGACCGATTCCTCTGCCCGGCGCACTTTTTCCTCATAGCTGTTCACTTGGGTAGTTAACTGATTGATGGTCTCCTGAACAGAAAGGACAAGCAGAAGGAATACATGTCAGTCCAGTAGGAACATACTTCTCTCTCTACTCCCACAGTCGTGGCAGGCTTGGACTTTGGGGATATGCCAGTCAGGTGAGCCTTTCATTGCCTCTCGCAATCCAGAGCAGCAGAGGAAATGCCTGACTCATACAGCTGAGTCCACAGCTGAGTCCTAACATCATAATCCTATAGTCCTAGCTATACAATGGTGCTACGCAGACACCCAGCCTTCATCACTCTCACACATTAACCGTTAATGATTAACGCATGCTGATACATACACCCACAATGTGAATCCCATTGCAATATATTTTTACAGTGACTGAATAAGTATATTATTGTGGCCATTTCATAGTAATGTGTTTGTAATGAGCAGCGGAAAACTCTTGTAATATTCTGGTTTTTTGTGACAAACAGGTAGCTAGTTATAAACAAAAGAGAGAGCTTAGAACTAGCAGTTCCCAGAATCAGAGGTGCAGCTTGGTAATATTAGCCCTGGGACTTGGTGGTCTTACATGGCATTGGGCCTTTGGACAACCTTGAATATCACTTCAAGTTCTGTAGCACATACATAACATTTCCCCTCTGCCCCTGCCACCTCTATTTCAGGCTTCACAAGGGCTTCAATAGTGCATACAGAGCTCTTAGCACTGGCATTGATCAATATACTCGGAGCACATGCAGTTTCATATTTTAAATTCATGTCTATCACGGCACCATTTTGATGACAGGAATAAAATGGTGTTTGCTTCCACTGCCCAGATCGAAGCATGTTTCCTTGGGGAAAAAAGCCATTTTATGGTCAGAAAGGAACATTCCTTTTTGAAGCAAAAGTAAGAACAAGAGCATCCATCGCCATGCATGTGGCCAGCTGGCCAAACCCTGACACTGATACTGGCACACTCTGTCTTTCTCTCTGTATATAAAATTTTAAACAAAATAAGGGAAAAGGATACTGCAGCACCAGGCATGCTTTCTGCTTCTCTCATCACCTGATGCTGCCTGGCCCTTTGGGATCCTCCCTGGCTGTGGGACCCTGGACCTCAGCCCCAAAGGCCAAAACGTGCTGCATCACTGCCTAGAATTATTTAAGCAGGCACTCAGTTTTCAGGGCTATCAATTTTGCTACCAAATGCATTCTCTTCAGAGCTACATGGTTTCTCTCTCTCTCTCTCTCTCTCTCTCTGTCGTATGCCATCTACCAACACTGATTCCTACCAGTGCTCCAGTTTCTTTCCCTGATGCTACCTGGCATGCCACTTGTCCTCTGCAAGGTGTGCCGGTACCCTCAGAGAGGTCGCTGGCATAGTTGTGTCAGTGCTGGCAGAGAAGAGAGTGGGGCAGAGGCTCAGCTCTTAGAGCCCCACCACTGAGGTCACAGGGCCTCAGTGCTGGAATTTGGAACAATTCTATGGCCCCCAGACAAAGCCAGGAGGCCCTAGCATTGTGCTGCAAGGTATGTGTCAGTTTGGAGGCCAATGACTTCCTCTCTCAACTTGCAGGGCATCTTAGAGAGTGCTGGGAGCAACAGAAAGGAGCTGCTCTGTGGAGATTGAAACTAAATGTAGAGCTGATAGACTTGAAAAGTTGCAGCTTGTTTAAATATTCCCAGGCCAAAAACAGACTTCTAGATAAATGCATGGGAGAGGCACAGCAGCAAAGATCAGCACCGCCATGTCTCACCTCACTTGGGCCATGGAATGCCAATAAACTTTGCATCTGGGGCAGGGCCTTTGGATTATGCCTTCAGTGGGAGAGGAACCCCCACATTCACCTCTCAGATTCCCAGTAGCGATGCCATTTGGGAGGGCAAGAGAGTAATTTCTCTCTGAGCTGTGCATATTTGTTACAGGTTATTTGGGCTGCTTGCTAGGAGTTGTGGACCTTTTTTCTGTCTCTTTTTGTTATGCTAAACCATTGCAGCTTCTGTGAATGAAGGATTTTGGGATTCAAATAGGGTTGAGTATTTGGGATAAGATAATGAAGAATCAATCTTGGAGTGTGGGGCAGAAATGGGAAGGCTTAACCGAGGTTAAATCAGAGGAACAATGCTCTGAAGTCGAGAAATTGTTATGCGTTATAACATTAGATGGGGTTTGAGCAGCTGGATTCATGAAGCCTAGCTCCAGTTCCTGCTAGTAGACAAATACCTTGGCTGTCACTAGACATGACACCATTCACAGAAGTAGCAATTGAGTGAATGGCTTTTTAAAAGGAATCAGCAAGTGCTGGGGGTGGGGAACAAGACCCATATTGGGACCCAGACCGGAGTGTAGGGGGTGCTAACCTTTTGCCTCTCCCACCTACTGTTTGCATTGGAATAAAAGCCCCTAATCACATCAGTGGAAGCTTTTCTTCCAGCACAATAATTAACGGGACCTGATCCAGATTGCAGCTGGACTGGGAAGCAGAGGACTCAAGCCCACAGTTTTCCATACTAGGTCTTAATCAGCCTCTTTTACCTGCCCTTTGCTTAAAAAAAGAACATAACAGAGCAGAACCACCAGTCACACAGTTAGGAATTGCATGTGCGGTCGCATTTAGCTCATCTGTAAATGAAGTGCTGCATGCACAAATTCAGCAGAAATAGACAATTGCTGCTGTTTGGCAACCTAATATTCCTTTTAAGTGACCAATACACTGTAGGGGCTGTTTGCGTTCTCTGGACGAACACAAAATTAGGGTGGCAAGACAGTGCAGACCTGCAAAATGATTCATGTAGCTGAAAGGATCCGTGCCATCTGCCCTCTGAACACCAGACCCTGCAGCATGCATGAGGAGCAGTGGCGTGGGGGAGGGCACTTACCTGCAGCGATGCCTGGGACTTCTGGAAGGAATCAGTCAGGAGCAACTTCTCTTGCTCATGCGCCTTCTGGAGCTCTGCAAGAACACCAGAGCAGCGTCAGCAGCAGGGAGGCACAAATCCCATTGTGATTAGGCCTTCTCTTAACCCACCTCCCAGATTCAGGACGCAAACAATTAGTTCAGGGGTCCTCAAACTCTTTCAACAGGGGGCCAGTTGAAAGTTGGTGGAGGTGGGCGCAGGCTGCCAAGACGGTGCCAGCGGGGTGGGGGGGTGCAGACTGGTGAGGGGGCGGGGGGGGGGTGCACAGGGCGAGGCAGCGACTTGCTCCTGCAGAGATTGTTTTCTCCGAGCAAGTCCAAAATGATCTCCCTGTGAGCAAGCCGCCGCCAGGCACATGCATAGCGAGGCCAAAACCTCTGAAGTGGGCCAGATAAATGGACATGGTGGGCCGGATCCAGTAGTTTGAGGACCCATGAATTAGAACACCAGGACCAGGGTGATGGAGGTGGAGGGAGGGCTGGGCAAGGTGCAGGAAGGGCAAAGGGAAAGGCAAATCCAGGTACAAGAAGGCTCAGACATCAGAAAGCAGGGTGGGGCCAGAGGTGAAGGGCAGAATCAGGAACAGGCAAGGCTCAGATGCCAAGAAGACATAGCTCAACTGGAGGAGAAAGCAAGGTCAGGCATAGGCAATGAGCAACTACCTGGCAAGGGGCAGTCAGACCAGAGGCAGAGGCAAGAGCAGGTAGGAATCAAGGCATCAGGAAAGACAGGGCAGGACTTGCTCCCCCTGCCCCGATATGGATGGAAGGATGATTTGAAACAAGGAAACAGGAAGAGTAAAAATGTAACAAAGAAAATTCCTTAGCCAAAAGGAGGCGGGGGGGGGGGGGGCTGAGATCAGATAGCAGGAGGGACTTGTCATGTAGACAAGATAGCAGGACACTCGCTCAATGACCTCATGACTATTAACAAACACACCCTGCGTAGGAAATAAGCTCATTATAATTCACCTGGGAGGGACAAAGTGGGAGGGAAGAACAGGTATTAGAGTAGCACAGGATAGGTGGACAGAAAAAGATTGTAACCTCCCAGTACCCTGGCCAATCAGGGAAAAAGAGAAGGGAAGAAGTGGTCAGGGAAAGGGCATAAAAATGGGATGTGAACATGTGCATGGTGAGCTGGCAAGGGGAAGGAAACTCTCCAACTCCCTGTATTGCAATAAAGTTACAAAACGAACTCTCTGCTTGTCTGGAGTATTTTTCTCTTCTGAAGAAAAGGAAAGAGTTTTTCTCACACCCCCCACCAGACCAAGACCACAAAGTAACAACCATCTTGGAGACTTATATAGCTATGGCTACACCAGACAAGGCTGAAGAGCCATTGGTAGCACCTCCTGTAGCTATAATGGCTGAGGAAAGATATGATAGCACTTCTCAAGTGCTTGAAAAGTTGTCATGAAGAGGAAGGACAATGTTGGGAAAATTCAAATAAATCCTGGCAGAAAAGGGTTGCTTACATGTGCCTTTGTGTTATAAAATCAAACCTGCACCCCTTTCTCAGAAGGCACCAGCATTCCAAGCCAGGTCACTGTTTAGTGCTGCTGTTACTTTAAGAAGATGGGATTCTTCACTGGACTGAGAAGCTGCTGTAAGCTAACACTATTAGTGAGGAAATGCCTGTGTTCTCATCAGCTGCAGAGAAACTGAAGCAATGGTGTCCATTTGCTTCTGAATGAACCCACTTAAGCATCTAGTCCCACAGAGGCAAGCACCTCCATAGTGTAGTTGTCAAACCAGATTTCCTGAATGGTTCCTCAATCAGACACATTTGCAAATTTTAAACAGGATCCAAACTGCAAAGAGGTCTACTCAACTGACAGGTCAATAAAGCAATCAGTAATGTTTTCCATACTAGTGTTATCAGAATTTCTGATAGGTTTAGAACATTATGTCATGCCTAAAGACATCAAGATGCTATTGTACTAAGATTATCTGAAAATATACCACTCTGTATTGGTGTATGTGACTAGCAGGTTATAAAAGTGTCTATACATGGGCTGCAATTTTGTAGTTGGCGGTGAGAGCCACCACCCGGTAGCATGCTGTCGTAAGTAACTGCAGGGGTCCTGGGTGATCTTTCACGATTGAGGTCAGGGAGAAAGGGGTCTTTCCTGACTGAACCTGGTTATCCTTGTCACAGCTGCCATCGAGGCTTCCCGACAATGCGATCTCTTCTCGTTCACCCCAGAGTGAAGGACATGGAATAATGGGCTCAAGTTGCAGGAAGCCAGATTCCTGCTAGAGATCAGGAAGATTTTCCTGACTGCTAGAGCAGAACAACAATGGAACCAGTGAGCTAGGGAGACTGTGGGAGGCATTCAAGAGGCAACTGGACAGCCACCTGAGAGGGATGGCTTAACTTGGTGTCCTGCACTGAGGCGGCAGTGGGGCCAGTGGCCTTCAAGGGCCCTTCCAACTCCAGCACTCTGTGATTCTTTGATTCTAGTTTGTTCTATCATTTCCAGGTAATCTTGCACATCCCTGGCTCTAAAAAAATGGTGGAAATGAATGGAAATCATGGGTGAGGCCCTGGAGAGTGACGATGTCACGCCCAGCATGATACAAGTGAGGAGTCCCTAATGTACAAAACATAGCTAGTGCAGAGAAGCCTTTGGCTGAGTTACACTTGACACGTTGAGTGCTAGCGTATCGTGCGATGTGTTTCAAGAATGTGTTCAGAAGTGGAGGGGAGCCCAAAGGATCGAGTCAGTGAGAGAACGGCACGCAGTCTTGATTAGGCTGCTGCTGCTACCAGCAGAGGGCCACAGCTAGTGCTGCTGGGCAGGTTCGGCTCCGAACGCAGCCACAGAGGAACCAAAGCAGTCATTCCAGAATGGGGCAGGCCAGCACGGCTCGCAGAAAGGAGCTGTTCCAGAAGCGACAGTTCCGGGACCCCTCCGGGTTGCTCGGGGAATGCTAGCTTCCTGTTGTAGCCCTGGTGGGACCTGCTGGGGCACTACAATCAGGGACAGCCCTGCACTCCCAGTTTCCCTGAGCAGAAATGCAAAATTCAGCGAGCCACACACCGCGGATCACAAAGCCTCCATTGTGCAAGAAGAGACATGGCCCACATCACAGCATTCGCTCAGGGCGAAACAGAAATGACCTTAGATGCATCACTGGCAGCTGCATCTTTTCCCTGTTAGTGTAGAGCAGGGGGCCAAAGTAGACCTCCACTCTTCCTGATGCCGAGTGGGGGTGCTGTGCCAAGTAGTCCAGATATAAAACAAAATGCACCAAGACCAGACGCACATTTAAAGTCACATCATCAGTGATTTGGTAGAAACCATAGAAAACTCACGCCCACTGTGGGCCTTACCCTGTAGTTTTTCATTCTGCTCTGAGAGCTGCTGCTCTGGCAGAGTGTTCGGCTTCTTTTCTGCCTGTACAAAAAGGAAAATGGAATGTTATACTGTAAATTAATAATAATGCAGTATCATTTATGTGTTTATGTATTTATCCACCCTGACAGCCTGAGCTATTGGGTGGTATAAAAATGAAACAAACCAAAATAAATACATTTAATTATTATATTTGTATCCTGCCCGTTTTTTCCCCTTTTTGAAAGATGGCTTATATGGTGCCACTCCTCTCCATTTTATCCTCACACCAGCCCTACAAGGTAGGTTAGGCTGTGAGTCAGTGATTTGTTCAAAGTTACACAGTGAGTTTCATGGTCAAGCAGGGATCAAGCATTCTACCCACTACACCACACAGCCTCTTCTGTGAGCAACAGACTGCATGATACCTAGTCTGAGCAATGTATAGTTTCAGGCTGGGGACAGACAATCATCTTCGCGAGGCTTGAAGGAAAGTTGTCAGAAGCATCCTTTAGTGTGGTACACCCAATAGGCCATTATCGCCTTTGGGTTTGACAGGTCTTTGAGGCATGAGAAAACCCCTACATTCCCCTTTAATTAGAGATGATTGGAAGACAGGAGTGCATGCATCATGGAAACAATGCTTTTTATCAGAAAAAAATATTCTGGGCAAGGATGGGCAGAAGAAATGCTTTTATTCTGCACACCACTGCCCTTGAATACATCTGAGATGCTCTCCTAAATATGTACGTAGCTTATGAGGGTTGTCCACACTGGCAAACTGTTTTTCAGGGAAATTTATTCACCATTTTCATGGAGGATCCCTTGACAGGCTTTCAAGGAACCTCAAAGCTCCTTGGAACACCACCCTGATGCCAGGATCTTTCAAAAAGTCCTCAGTGTATGCTTGTGCTCTTTTAAAACTGACATGTTCCACTGTGTAGTCACCAGTGCATATCGTATGGGGCAAAAGGGGGATAAAAATAAAGTCTTGTTTCTTTAAATATGCTGTGAATTCTCTCAAGAGTGCAGCATATCCCCAGCAACCTGCTGCCAGAAATCTGTCAGAGGAGAATCTGTACTGTGTATATACCTAATCTGAATAGAGCAGATATGTGTGTATAAATATAAAAGGACACACGAGCTCTTCATCTGATGTGTAGCTGTTCACTCTCCAAACAAGCGATCAGTACCAAACCATCTCCAGGAAAAGTCTAGTGCTTTTTCAGCACTCACTGGAAAGCTGCTATTTTGATTCACATCTTTGGCCTGGCCCCTGTGCATTCTCGCCTTTCATCGGGAGCTGGGAGCCTCTTCTTCACTCTTGGGGGCAGTTGCGGCTGAATGCAGGGGGCCCAAAGGGATGGGGTCAAAGCACCCCAAACCAACCCCAGAGCAACATATTCCAGTGCACTGTAGCTCAAGGGTGCAATCCTATGTCTGCTCAGGCAGGAAAAATGTCTTGGAGCTCCCAGCTTTTGCCAGCCAGCCAAGTCCAGGAAGCCACCAAACAAGAAATGGTTGGGGAAAGGGTCGGGGCTGTCTATTTTCACTGCCTCCCGGAGGAGTGGACCTGATCCCCAGACCTGAGGTCTCTCAACACCGCTTTACATTTTACGTAGGGGTGCATAATGCCACGCATGTGATCTCACTTACACCCAAGATGACATGGCAAAAGAAGTGTGTGGTGCTCTTCATTTTTTCATGAATGGAGTATGCACATTTAATTCTCATGTCCATGCTCATGCTTCTTCCAGGACAGCCTGGCTGTTCTAAATGCATGTGCATTCATTCCAGGTAGTGCCCTTGCACAAGCATTGTGTCAGTCAGACTCTGGCATCTAAACTCATTCAAAAAGTAAAGTGGGCAGCAGCAAGCAAGGAGATGCATTTTCACTTCAAGGAGTTGGCTTTTAACAAATATGGAACATCCTCTTCTCTTTTATTTCTTTATTGAATAAAAGGCCCAGAGGGATAGCCCTGACATTGTGTTGTGAAGAAACCATAGAACAGATCCCTGCTTGTGATCCTGGTTTCCTAAGGGGAAGCCTGCCATGCTGAAATACCACAGTGCGGTTCAGACAACACGGCAGACTGATAATGGTAAACAATCCAAGGAAGGGCTCGTCACGACGCGTGAACCAAGCCAGTGCCGGAATCAGAATGAACTGGAGTCTCCCTCTGGGTGTCCTGGGGAGGTCCTCCTACCTCGGCTGGGGGAGCTTCGCTGAGGCACTCCCCTTTTTCCTGGTGGTCTTGTGGGTGGCCACTGTCCCTGCAGTGCTGCTCCAGCAGCTCCACCTTTTCTGTTTTTGCCTCCTCCTGCAGATTGTCTTGTTCAGAGGGAAGAAGAAAGTGCATGTCGAAAAGATGGCTCTCCTGATTGTCATTGGCTGATGCCCACCTCCCGCTCTTGCCACCCCCATGCCATTTCTATGCATTTATTTAACCCAAATGTCAGCTTACATTATAGGCAACAAGACTAAGAAAGGCAAAGGGAGGATTTGAATTCCAAAGACTCTCCCTGGATGTCTGCCAGAGCTAGCGGGAGTTAGGATGCAGGCATGCACTATTTGTGGGCTCCCTCCAGAAAAGAACTGGTGCCGAAGTCGGAAGCGCGAATCTGAGCTTAGGCATGCTAGAAATCTGCACCTTACCATTTTGCAGTTTTGGTGGAATCTCATCGGAGGCTTCCCCACTTCTCTCCTGGCTTTGAGACTTTTTCTGTAGAAAACACAGAAAAAAATCACAGGTCAACTTTTTGTTAAAAAAAAGTTTGTGCTAGAGGGTGGTTTAATCTGAACCCAAATTAGAAAAGAATCAGGTCATTTCAGAGAAACACTGAGCCTGGGTCCCACTGGCACCCACTTACTCAATGATCCTTCTATAAAATGAGAGTTCTGGAGCACTTTATATATCAACTGCTGAGGAAGGCAACCCACTCAGTTCCATCCCAAGGAGTCTCCTGGTACACCAGAACTGGCAGCTACTTAAGGTGGGTTCAGACAATGCAACAAGCAGTTGCGTGTGTGAGTTTAACCCTTCTTGGTCTGAGCTTGGCTGAGGAATTAAGACCCATTACTGTACAGAAGGCACGCGTAAGTCTGCACTGTTGGCCTCTCCTTGGGGGCAGGACTAAAGGGACTGTAAGGATGACTGTGCTTGCACTTCCACATTAAACACTGCACCATTGCCTACAAGCTGCTGCCATATGTAATTTCCCTTCTTAAGTGTTGAAGAGAGGCTCGGCATGATCCTCTCTCCCCTCCCTTAGAACATAGGATAGTAGAGTTGGAAGAGGCCAGAAGGCCATTGGGTCCAAGCCCCTGCTATTGCAGGACACCAGGTTTCACCATCCCATTCAGATGACCGTCCAGGCACTGTCTGCATGTCTCTTGTGAGGGAGAACCCACAGCTTCCCCAGGTAATAGTTTCCATTGCCATCCTGCTCTGACAGTGAGGAAATTCTTCCTGGTGTCTTGCCTAAGCCTGGTTTCTTTTATCTCAAGCCCTTAGTTCCCTGTTCCGCTGTCTGGAATGAACAAGAAGAGATCTTGTCCATTCTCTTTGTGACAGCTTTGCATCTACTTGTAGGGTGTTATCATATCTTCTGAACCCTTTCCAGCTGGTCTGCATCTTTTTTAAAACTATGGGGCCCAGAATTAGATGCAGTACTCCAGATGAAGTCTTTTCTTTTATAACTTCTTTTATATCTTTTATTTATTTTATATTGTTAATTTTAATTTTATATTGTTATTTTTGTATTGTATTTTATTGTGTTGTAAGCCGCCCCTTGCTGAAGCCTCGGGGTGGCTTACAACACAATAA